CAAAGGTGAGTAATGTCTGTTGTTTCTCCAGTAAGTATTCTTCATAATGCCCCTGGCCCTCTATGCACAATGCACCAAGGTCTAAACTTAAATGTTTTCAATTGTGTAAAGCAAATTACATTCATGGTTCACAGGGGCAATGAGGTAGCCTAGTGGTTAAAGCGTTCGCTTGTCACGCCGAAGACCCGGGTTCGATTCCCCACATGGGTACCATGTGTGAAGCCCATTTCTGATGTCCCCCGCCGTGATGTTGCTGGAATATTGCTAAAAGCGGCGTAAAACCGAACTCAGTCAGTCATGGTTCACACAATTTGTGCCCGTCACCCTATGTGGTGATATGGACGCCTAGATCCATATTGAAGGTATTATTTTAATTTGAATTAAACAATTCTCCATACATTCAAACTCATTGGTAATCTGAAAGTGCTACAAGAAGTAGGTAACATTATCTACCTTACATTATTTACATACTTTATCATATTGATTTCAACCTTACATTTAACTGTACAAAAACAAAGGCTTAATATTTCAGATGTCTTATCGACGGAAAGATAAGTTATGGATGCTAGACTGACTGACTGACTGAGTTTAGTTTTACGCTGCTTTTAGCAATATTCCAGCAACATCACGGCGGGGGACACCAGAAATGGGTTTCACACAATGTACCCATGTGGGGATTCGAACCCGGGTCTTCTGCATGATGAGCCAACGCTTTGGCTGCTAGACCAAACACAATAATAACAATTCATATCCAAAAACCCAATGAAAGTGAGTGAGTGAGGGAGTTTAGTTTTATGCAGTTTTTATCAATATTCCAGCAATATCATTACGGGGGACATCAGAAATGGGCTTCACACATTGTACCAATGTGGGAAATCGAACCTGTGTCTTCGGTGTTAGGAGCGAATGTTTTAACCACTAGACTAACCCTCCACCCTCCCAATGAAAGAGTCTTGTGCATGCTTCAGGGCTAGGACATTGACTGGCAAGAACACAAGATATTGATACACTTTGCCGCCATGCCTCAGTAAGCCATACTATAATGTGCATTTATGATGCACCATATTCCACTGACAATGCTCTTGGTGAAGCATTATCATTACAGCACTCAATTTATCAGTGCACTGTTTATTCAGCTCCCTGAGGAGTATACAATCCAAGCTGCTTCTGAGAGGCTACAAGATTAGTACCATACACAATGGTCAACCTGATTTGGTTATAGTAAAAGGATATTTGATGGGCATATAACATGTTATTGTAACATGTGCTGAAATGTGTACTCTGTTATTGTTCAACCCATGACTGACTGACTGACTGAGTTTGGTTTTACGCCGCTTTTAGCAATATTCCAGCAACATCACGTCGGTTCAACCCATGAAGATCCAGGTTACAATTGATCTTCAGCAACCAATGCTTGTCGTAAGAGGTGACTATCGAGATCAGGTGGTCAGGCTCGCTGACTTGGTTGACACATGTCATCGTATCCCAGTTGTGTAGATCGATGCTCATGCTGTTGAGCACTGGATTGTCTGGTCCAGACTTGATTATTTACAGACTTCCGCCATATAGCTGGAATATTGCTGAGTGCAGCACTGAACAACAAATCAACCTAGGTAAGTGGAATGTTTATTCCTATATCAGAGAATCGAATCCTGTCTCCACTGTGTTGATGAAACACACAACCCCTCCACCCCCAACTTGTGCTGGAGGGGTTGTGTTCATGATAATCAAGTATAACAAAATGTTTGGATATTTTGACAGACACTTGGTTCAAATGGTAATCGAATGTTGTAGTCTTTCCATGAAGCAATTGAGAGTATTGTGGTTTTGAATAATTTGAGTTGGTCAAATGTATTGCATCTTCCATTAAATGATGAGAAGCTGGTTGAGTGAGTGGTGAAGTGGTTTGGTGAGTGGTTGAGTGAGTGGTGAAGTGGTTGAGTGAGTGGTGAAGTGGTTTGGTAAGTGGTGAAGTGGTTGAGTGAGTGGTTGAATGGATGAGAAGCTGGTTGAGTGAGTGGTGAAGTGGTTTGGTGAGTGGTTGAGTGAGTGGATTAGCTGGTGGAGTGAGTGGTGAAGTGGTTGAGTGTGTGGTTGAATGGATGAGTAGCTGGTTGAGTGAGTGGTGAAGTGGTTTGGTGAGTGGTTGAATGGATGAATAGCCTGGTTGAGTGAGTGGTGAAGTGGTTTGGTGAGTGGTTAAGTGGTTGAGTGAGTGAGTGAGTGGTGAAGTGGTTTGGTGAGTGGTTAAAAAGGTTGAGTGAGTGTGTGAGTGGTGAAGTGGTTTGGTGAGTGGTGAAGTGGTTTGGTGAGTGGTTAAGTGGTTGAGTGAGTGGTTGAATGGATGAGTAGCTGGTTGAGTGAGTGGTGAAGTGGTTTGGTTAGTGGTTAAGTGGTTGAGTGAGTGGTTGACTGGATGAGTGAGTGGTTGAGTGAGTGGTTGAGTTAGTGGTTAAGTGGTTGAGTGAGTAGTTGAGTGAGTGAGTGAGTGAGAGTGACAGACATTGGTTTTTACACCGTTTTCTGGTATTTATCTTGTATAAAGATTACAATCTTTAAACTGTAATATAGCATCCTGTAATTGATCAGGTGTCTTGGCAAAAAAAAGTAAATAAAAGAATGAGCATGAACCACATCATACAGTGACAGACACCCACACAAAACAAATATCTTGACTGCCTGGAATCATAATCATAACACAAATTTTGTGTATGTTTTTGAAAACTGGCAAAAGAAAACAACAATTTGAAATGATTGGGTCAGAGACTACAATGGATGCCTAGCAACCTTTCCTTGCACTATGACACATTGGGTTGAGCTGAGATATGAATCATAACCTGTTGACAGCTATGGCTGACGTACATGTCAGGGGTGTACAGCACTGTACACAGCACTGGAATGTCTACAAGTCTGTCAGCGGTGCTGTCTATTTAGGCTACATGTTCCAGAAAATATAGCTATGGGTTCAAGGTAAATAAAGTTCAGTAGTTCTCTCTCTCTAGATTATAGTCCGTATTGTGTTTTGTTTGTTGTCTAACGCTGCACGGAGTAATATTCCAGCTATATGGCTGAGTTTGTGTGCCGGCGATTAGGTGCCTGACTCTCTGGGTGTGGGTTCAAATCCTGGATGGGAGTCAACCCAACAAAAGTACAAGAATCTGTACTTTACTAAACTAAGAAAGTGTAATCCCAAATATAACACATGTTACATTTGACCACTTTCTAAATGACATTGTGTATTTATATATGACGGAGTTCTGTACATAATCGAGTCTGGACCAGACAATCCAGTGATCAACAGCATGAGTATTGATGCACACAACTGGGATATGATGACATGTGTCAACCAAGTCAGCAGGCAGAACACCTGAGCCCTTTAGTCGCCTCTTACAACAAGTATGGGTTCCTGAAGATCAAGTCAAACCTGGACCTTCCTGAGTATTGTCAGTATTTAGAATCAATGATGCAAGGAAATTATAAAAATAATGGCAAAAACATTTTACATACAAAGCCACATGCAAAATATGTCCATTACATGTTGTACATGTATGGGATGCTCCAGTTTGCAACTTGCAAAACCCTGTTCAAGAAAATGGTTGTCTGTTCTGATAACATTCCCATGATCGAGTGAGTGTTGCACAAACTGCTACTGAGACCAAACAAAATTACTTGTGTTTCAGTCACCACAAACAACGAAAAATATGTTCTACTGACAGAAGCAGGAACAAATGGTTGGGACTACAGGGCAACTCACAGAATAATCTGCAGCTTGTCAGAAATAATGAGTATTTGCTAGTGCTGGAGAGAATAATCGTTCAATCGATTGTCGATTAGCTTGGAAGTTCAATCGATATTCATAATAAATTAAACATCAAATTAAACTTCAGAAATCAAACATAAACAACTGATGCAGTTTCCTGACTCGTTATACTGCAGCGTAAACAACATACTCACATGGAAGTCTCCTCGATCAGCTTGGTTGTGTATTAATCGGTGCCTGTGTTGTTGGCACATGTTATGATTGTGTCCAGTTATTGACCCATGAATTTTGTGGTGGGGTTTATGATTACAATCTATTATTGATCGATTACTGAGTTCAGATTATCGATCTGGTTACGGCTCACAATATCCAGTACTAATATGTCATGAGTTAACTTTCCATGAAGTCTTTTTTTCAAAGAATATGTTGTCTTACAAGACAAATCTTATGGATAACAACTTCTTGATTTATTTTTCACAACATTTCTGGGCTAGTTTGTCTTGTATTACTAAACCAACTTCTAAATGCCTTTGAAGAACTTCAATAGGTTTTATCTTACCTCACACATAAATGTCGCTTTCTGATTGGCTGAGCGCTCTTCTATTATTTTCAATGTACCCCGCTTACAAGCGAGTAACATTTCAATGTACACCGCTGTCAATGGCAACTCATTTGGTACTTCGTGGTAGTAATTCTTTATCTCAAATAACGTTGAATCACGTATTATGTACAGAAATTACCGATCTTTTGCGAATGCAAATCGACGGAAAGGGAGATAACTCTAAATCTGTTTTTCTTGTCAGCAAAATCTTGTACCCGTGCTTCAAACAATTCAAAATTAACATAAAGGTGTTCGGTAAGATAAATATGTTGTTCACTGGTCCCTCGGGGCCCATGTGTTGATGTACCTTCGGGCTCAGGGAACATAAACAAACATTGAGGGTACATCAACCCATGCCCCTCTTGTGACCAGTGAACAACTTATAATGCATTAACCCTTCAGAGGAAGAGACAGCAACTTAGTCAGAACAACATGAAGCTGTCCATAACAGCATCATCTTCAGTTATGTGTGACAAAGTGTTCAGATGACAAATGCTGTTCCATTGGAACCAACCAGGAGAACAAACAGGAACCATCAAATCATGATACAGCTCAGGACCGTCACTGGTACTGATTTCCCCGACATCTGTACCCTTATGGTTGCTACATGAAGATATATGTGATGTGTAGTGGTCCTACCTGAAGGTTTTCATTGTAGAGCATGCTCTTCAGCACCTGGTCTGAGCGGCGCTGAGCTGCTCGATGCTCCATCACATTCTCCAGGTAGGTGAGGATGTCACGGACTCGGGTCTCCGGGGGCAACAGTTCCAGAGCCTGCAGGGGGATGGGGGAGACAAGGAATAATCATCAAAGTAATCACATCACATGTGAAATAGGGTTGAATGTTTCAAAACATGCACCTATAATAGCACATGTGTATGGCAGAAGTGAGCCAAGATGGCAAGATTGCAGGTTACATGTAAAATTCATGACACCAACTGAGAACTTTATATGTGAATAACAAACAAGCCCTGTAATGGGCAAACGGATTATGTATCTCTTGAACTTTATGTGAGCGACTTACAGTATTGACACAGGAAGAGAAATCAATCATACAAAGTTTCAAGTAGGTTTTTTTGTTTCTTACCAAGAAAGATATGAAGAATGTCAAACATAAAAATAAACTTTACTGGAGGCAACCTATTGCTAAGATAATGCAATTTATTATCATTTTTTATTTGTTTGTTGTTCCACACTCAACAATACTCCCTCTCTATGGCAGCAGTCTATAAATAATCAAGTCCAAAATAGAAAATCCCGTGTTTGATCTTATAAGATCTACAATGACAGGCCAGAAACCATGTTGAGCCTGACCACCCAGTTCTCTCAGCTGCCGTGGGACGGTGGGTTAGCCTAGTGGTTAAAGCATTCGCTCGTCACACTGAAGACCCAGGTTTGATTCCCAACATTGGTACAGTGTGTGAAGCCCATTTCTGGTGTCCCCCACCATGATATTGCTGGAATATTGCTAAAAGCGACGTAATGCTAAACTCACTCAGCTGCCTCTGGCAACATAGGCTGTATTCTTACCCAGCATCTCCACAGGTCATGTTACACATTTGTAACAACATGAATAATTGATGATGTCATGTCGTGTTGTTCTTACCAACAAAACCATCGTGACAAACAAAAACTATCATTGACAATCTACAAGATGCATATATACAAATATTGGAACATAAAAATTCATTCATTCTTCCCTCAAAGACAACCCCTTTATCCAGTTTCGGCACAGATCTGTTTGTCACTCAGCGAGTTACAAGCAAGGGGAGTTAACTCTGACATGACCACTAAATACAAATGATACTGACATCAGGGGTTGAGATTGGTTCAGTTTCAAGGATATCAACTTACTGTCATCCAAAATGTCATTAACATGCTTTTAAAATTTGGAAGTATCTTCATGCATTTGCTTCCTGCAAAAATCTCAGCACATATGACTCATTTCTTTGTGGTATTCATTAATGCCAAAATCAATACATCTGATAATAATTAGGAGATAATCTTATTGTGTTTACATTTTTTAAGTGATTATAGTTGGTTGAGCGCTGCTAAATGAAACATTTAGCAGCGTTCAAACCAACTAAATCACTTCCAAAATGTATTTAGCAGCGTTCAACCAACTATAATCACTTCCAAAATGTAAACACAATAGGATTATCTCCATTCTACCATGACATATGCACCATGAATAAAACGCGTTTTCAAATATGCACTCATTACCCTTGCGTAGTGGTAAAATTCCTAATGAGTGCAAAATATTCCTACGCTCAGTGAATCGGCTCTCAGAAGTGGTTATTGAAAATTGTTCACTTCCAATTCTTTAGTAACAGCCAATCAAAAACAAACATACTTTAATGTCATGGTAGAATCCAAAACATCTTAGGGAAATGCTTAAAAATTGATGCATACAAATTACTGAGAAGAACTAATACTATCACAGCTTTATTGGGTGATTTATTTGTTGTGTACATACTTTAGTCGTCTCAATCTTCCATGCATGGTCCTCCAGCAGTTTGAGGGCGGCAGGAATGTTCTTGTGAGGTGTGCTGACATGCCCATCAGGAGCCATCCCGAGTGTGGAGGGTTCCGGAGGCTGGAGATACATCTTCAGCAGACACACATACACCTGGGACGAGGACACACAGACACAGAGATCATTACATGATATGGCAGTCAGGTATCATTTCTCTCACAAAAAGTTGTTTCAAAAAGTACCAAATGAGTGAAAATGAGTTTGATATATTTTTAAACGAGTTTAGTATGAGTTCATTAATTTGTTTCTGACAAATCATTTTTTCACTGAATGCATGCATAACTTGTCTCCTCTGATCATTGGGGGGCGGTGGGGTAGCCTAGTGGTTAAAACGTTCACTCGTCACCCCGAAGACCCGGGTTCGATTCCCCATATGGGTACAATGTGTGAAGCCCATTTCTGGTGTCCCCCGCCGTGATATTGCTGGAATATTGCTAAAAGCGGCGTAAAACCAAACTCACTCACTCACTCTTATCATTGGACCAGAGAATCATGGCCAAAGTAGTACTGATTTTTATAATAGTTTTTGAGCAAATGATTTGGTCTCACATCTTTCTTTTCCTTACAACACTGTTACGGTATGACACTAAATAACCCAGGTCACAGCTGAAAGTTGTCTATCCCTATGGCGACCCAGCCAACTTTTACCATGTTCACCGTACAAAGTCTCAACCTTTAACCATATTTTCTATAAAACATCGAACAATTACCATAAAGAATCAAACTATGACCATATTTACTACAAAACAGAAAACTATTGCCATATTAACCCTAAAGTGAGAACTATTGCCATATTAACCCTAAAGTGAGAACTATTGCCATATTAACCCTAAAGTGAGAACTATTGCCATATTAACCCTAAAGTGAGAACTATTGCCATATTAACCCTAAAGTGAGAACTATTGCCATATTAACCCTAAAGTGATAACTATTGCCATATTAACCCTAAAGTGAGAACTACCCATATTAACCCTAAAGTGAGAACTATTGCCATATTAACCCTAAAGTGAGAACTATTGCCATATTAACCCTAAAGTGAGAACTATTGCCATATTAACCCTAAAGTGAGAACTATTGCCATGGTTAACCCTAAAGTAGAACTATTGCCATATTAACCCTAAAGTGAGAACTATTGCCATATTAACCCTAAAGTGAGAACTATTGCCATATTAACCCTAAAGTGAAAACTATTGCCATATTAACCCTAAAGTGAGAACTATTGCCATATTAACCCTAAAGTGAGAACTATTGCCATATTAACCCTAAAGTGAGAACTATTGCCATATTAACCCTAAAGTGAGAACTATTGCCATATTAACCCTAAAGTGAGAACTATTGCCATATTAACCCTAAAGTGAGAACTATTGCCATATTAACCCTAAAGTGAAAACTATTGCCATATTAACCCTAAAGTGAGAACTATTGCCATATTAACCCTAAAGTGAGAACTATTGCCATATTAACCCTAAAGTGAGAACTATTGCCATATTAACCCTAAAGTGAGAACTATTGCCATATTAACCCTAAAGTGAGAACTATTGCCATATTAACTATTGCCATAAAAAGTGAGAACTATTGCCATATTAACCTAAAGTGAGAACTATTGCCATATTAACCTAAAGTGAGAAATATTGCCATATTAACCCTAAAGTGAGAACTATTGCCATATTAACCCTAAAGAGAGAACTATTGACATATTAACCCTAAAGTGAGAACTATTGACATATTAACCCTAAAGTGAGAAATATTGCCATATTAACCCTAAAGTGAGAACTATTGCCATATTAACCCTAAAGCCTCAAACTATTATTACACGTGTATTTACTATAAAACATAAAACTATTACCTTATGTACCATAAACTTCAAACTATTTACTATATTCACTATATATGCTTAGAAAATTGACAAGGGCAGTGTTTACTAAACCCGGACAGAACCAGACAAATCATTTTCATAGATGGAGAGTTATAGCGGATAAAGTGGGTTCAAACATCTATGAAACAAAACCCATTTTGCTATAACAGTTTTCAGATAATTATATACCCATTCTGCACTGCTGTTTTTCTGTACAAGAACATCTAATTTTCACAAGAAAATATGGACATTCATGTAGATTTTTATTTTACACGTGCACATATATAGAAACAGATTGGTTGAGAAGTCAGGGCGTGCTTCTTAAAGCAACGTGCTAAAGACAAGGAATTCTGTATTTGTACTCTGCATTGTGACCACCTGGTCATTTTAGATGCATTTCATGTCAAGGAATGGTGAACTGTTTTCAACTTACGTCTTTGTTCCCTTCCTTATCTTTATCAAAATGTGTCCGACAATACCTGTAAAATAATAGAAGCATGATAGATATCACCAGCCACAATAATATCACTGAAGATCTTGGTTACATTGATTTACCCCTAAATCTTATATCTTAATCTTTTACTTTGAACCCTGTGAGGATATGAACCTGCTGGAGTGAGTAGGTGAGAGAAACACTTTTATGTTGCAATCTTTAAACCATCATTATCATTGATGATGAGTCATAATCAAGTTTGGGCGTGGCAAACTAGTGGTTACCAGCATGATCAACAATACATGGTAAGACATATGATAACATCAATCAGCCAGGTCACATGTTGTGACCCCCCTGCCCTCCACCAACCGATGCTGGTTTTAAGAGGCAACCAAACAGATCTGATGGTCAGGTGACTTGGTTGCTTGCAGCCTGTGGATCATTGTAAACAATATCAATCACTGGATTATCTGGTTCAGATTTGATTATTTACAGGCTGTTGTCATAAAGAGGAATACTGCTCAGTCTAGTGTCCAATAATAAATATAAAACATCTCCATTTTAGTTGGCTGGTTATTGTACCCTGAAACCACGGATCATTGCTCCAAATATCAATCACTGGACTGTCTGATCCAGGCTTGATTACTTCAAGCTACCATTATGAACAGTAGTATTATAACTATAGCACAGTAACATGGGTCATATGCTTCAAAAGTTCGTGTTTGGTGTGATGGGGAATGACTATAACCACTAGGTAACACTAAGCAGTAAAACAGGCAAAGATTTCTGCCGTATCCCCCGTTTTATTATCATTCTATGCCTAAGATTTATAGTAAGAATAGACGGTTTTTATAGAAAGCCTATCCTAACCCTAACCCTAAACCAAACATAATGCTGAATCTAAACCCTAAACCTAAACCCTTGAAATAATCATAATAAATAGAATACTTTACAAGTGGGGGTTACGGGCGGAACTCTTACCTAAAACAGAACAAATCCACTTCCATTTCAATTGGTTCTTACAAAAGACATGGTGTACCAATTCTGCCCAACTATCCCACATGGGCCAGTATCCCCACATGGGCGTATCTACTGGAAGGGAGGTCATGGCCAAGGTCTGTTACACTTACACTTCAGCCAGACGGGGATCTTTCAAGATGTGGATGTAGATGCCAAGAGCCTGCTCATGTCTTCCCAGCCGACCCAGTAGGATTGCTCTCTCTCATAGAAGTCTGGAAAAAACATTAAGGATCAAGGTCAAATGTCAAGGTAAATGTATCACATGTGCTTATAGTGAAGTGTGGTGTTTTCCAGGGTAACATTGCCATATATAAGGTTGAATGTTCAGCTTGTAACATCTGTACATCCATCTACTGACAGATGTAATGGTAACACAATAATTTTGCTGCAGTTAGGTCTATCTTCTGCCTGCCAATGGACATTCAGTTATACAGTGTCAACATCATATCATATCAAATGATAACCGTGAAGGTCCGGGTTAGAATGAACCTTCAGTAACCCATGCTTGTCGTTAGAGGCGACTAACGGGATCGGGTGGTCTGGCTCACTGGCTTGGTTGACACAGGTCATCGGTTCCCAATTGTGCAGATCGATGCTCATGCTGTTGATCACTGGATTGTCTGGTCCAGACTCTATTATTTACAGAACGCTGCCATATAGCTGGAATATTGCTGAGTGTGGCGTAAAACTAAACTCACTCACTAATATCAAATATAATATAAGGCTGCCAGCCAAGCTGAATGGCTTTTAACCATACAATGGCCAGCAATCAGATACCTTGACAGCATTGAACCCAGACACCTGGAAATCTAACCAAGATATTTCCCATAACAACACAGTCTTTATTCTGTTCAATGCAATAAATAAGATCATTTGTTCTCCCATTATGTTGTTGTAAGCTATAACTGGTTGCCATGTATTCTAAGACTTACTATCCAGCGGGAACCTTGCCAGCAGCATCTCAGGGACGTAGTGCTGGGACGTCTGCAGGAACACCACCAGCTTCACCCTGTACTCCTCCAACTCCACCGGTTCGTTTTTCGATTTGTCAAGACGATCTCCTGCTGGACAAAGGTCAGTGACACTTCACCTTCACCACCCACACTCTCATCAATAATACTGACACTGACATTTACAATACTGATATTTACAATACTGACGATGACATTTACAGTAATGACACTGACATTTACAATACTGATACTGATATTTACAATACTGACACTGACATTTACAATACTGATACTTATATTTACAATACTGACACTGACATTTACAGTATTGACACTGACATTTACAATACTGACCATGACATTTACAGTAATGGCACTGACATTTACAATACTGATACTGATATTTACAATACTGACACTGACATTTACTGTATTGACACTGACATTTACAATACTGACACTGACATTTACCATATTGACACTGACATTTACAATACTAACGCTTACATTAAGGTACTGATGCTCATATTTACGAAAGTAGCTCTGATATTATAATAGTAACACTGACATTTACAGTACCAACACTGACTGACATTGGAATATACAGTTGAAACTCAAATTTACAGTAATGACAAATCCCCATTTACAGTACTACTGAAACCATGCAGATTTTCTCTTCTTAGTTTCATTTGCCTTAAATTACCTGCTTCACAAGTGTAAGTATGAGGGTTGGGTTACACACTTGAAATGTATTCCACTTCAATCCGAGTGTCTGGTTAGCGTGGGAGGAAATCCCCAAGTGACACAGTTCATACTTATACCACTTTCATGAAACCCACAATCAGGGAATCCAGGACAACAACCCCAAACAAACAAAACAAACAACAACAAAACAAACAAAACACACACCCCCAAAAACAAAAAACAAAAACAAAAAAAAAAAAAAACAAAACAAAACAAAACAAAACAAAACAAAACAAAAACAAAACAAAAAAAAACAAAAACAAAACAAACAAACAAAAAGACAACAACAAAAAAAAACCAAAAAAAAAACCCCGGACATTATCCCCCGAACCTTAACATAAAAACAGACAAAATCCCCCCTAGTCATCTTTTGCTTTAGATTAAAGGTTCTGCTGATCTTTGATCAACACTTAATCAGTATTATAACTATAGTACAGTAACATGGGACATATGCTTCAAAAGTTGGTGCTTGGTGTGATGGGGAATGACTATAACCACTAGGTAACACTAAAAGCACCAGCAGCTATCTATCCAAGTGTCTATATATAGAACATTAACCCTATGTAGTCTAACCTTCAGGTAGAGACTCAACATAGTCCTCAGATAGCACCTGGATCTTCTCTCGGTACAGGTGCACTAAGCGGTTGTGAAATTCTGGCGTCTCATCATCACATTGAGAAATAATGTGTTCCTGAAATTCAATCAAATTTCTGAAAGTCTAACACCTCCCCGTGACATCTGATGAATTCATCTGTGAAGATGCTAATCATTTCATGGATACTTTTATCTGCTCTAACTGATATTGAGAATCACTCACATTGCAACGAATGTATTTCATGATACTTAATTTTCTCAGAACTCACAAGATATGGTATAGCCAGATCTTTTGACATCCTCTCTAGAAACTCTAGCACCTCATCTCTTGGAAGACTTTCAATCTCAGGTGTATCTTCAGTAAATATCTGAAAACAAGAAAGTATTTGACCATGATCCTTTTTCTGTTTTTTTTTTGGAGTGAATCTTGGTAATGGACACTACAAATGCTCTATTTCTGAGTAATATTTCTCATACATGGTCGATCACCCTGCAGTATTCACATCAATCTGTAGCTTTCCCTGGAAACAGTAATGGCAATGCTGGCTTTAAACTGGGATTTGGTTCAGTGAGTAAGTGAGGGAATCGAACCTAGGTCTTCGGTGTAACAATCGAACACTTTAACCACTAGGCTACCCCACAGACCCAATTTGGTTAAGGGTTATAGGACAAACATCAGAAATGGTCAGAAAGTTAGCCATTTATTTAACTCTAGATATGACTTGATTTAACAGAAGAATAGCTAAAACTAAAAAGGTGTAGAACCATTATTAAAATCGCCATTTTAGAAACTTTTTAATACTTGAAATGTTGAATAGGGACTTTCAACCTTATTAACATACCTGTAACTTCAATACTAAATCACAATTTTTTGAAAAGTGAGCGATATTACACCATGCCAATCATATGAGTAGATTACTGATGCTACAGCAGCACCCACCTTCAGCCCATCCTCCGGGTGTTTCCTCAGTACCCACTCGGAGTACTCAAATATCAGAGCCAGATGCTCAGCACCTTCAACATAGACAGTCATTGTCATCCTGAATTGGGGCTTGAGTTAATGTTTCAACAATCGATGTTTCTCATGTGTTCTGGGCCTGATGTCACATCAATGATTTGCTAGATTCTATATTTCTCTACATTCAAGAGAAGATTGGGTTGTTGATATGTTTCGCTTAATGACAAACATTACAGTATTTTGAGAGCTAATTCTTGCTCCTTCATCAGGTGAGTGATGTTTTTTTCATAATCATTATAAACATCCTACCAATATTTACAAATGATTAAAACAAGAACTTTTGTATTCATACTGTTGAGATTGTTAACAAATTTCAGGAAGAAAGACCCCTCCAACATAGATCATGATGGCAAGGGAAGCAACTCATGGAGTTTTTGTTGTATAAATAATCCATTCCATACTCTGGATTGTTTCATCTGTTAGGAATGATCAGTGTACTGAACTACTTTCTGCAAATCAAATTTTAAGCTCCTGCATAATCATTATGAATGTACTACCGCAAAAACAACTTATAACTTAAAAGGTAAATAATCTTGTCTAGTGATGTTTAATTGCAAATTTGACGTCTCTACTGACAAAGTCGTCTTCTATTGTTTGTTCATGCGAAGTGATACGATTTTGTTTTCTTACCCCTGGCAAAAGTTTGACAAAAGCATAACCCATGGATAAGACGACCCCCTTCTACAGACTGCTTTTTTTGGTCCTCAAAATTCGGCTTATAGACGGTCATATACGGTATGTACACACAAATCTCACAAAATGCATGTGCAGCACAAATATACATGCAAATAAATGCAGCAAAGAAAACAGACTTAAAGATTCTCATGCATGACAAATGAACAGCATGATATTTCCATGCAGGATATTTGTGTTATATTTTCTTTCAATTACTGATCTCTTGTAACTTAATCTTTAATCTTATTATGAAGTATGTTGTTTCATTCATATAAAAACTTTTACAAATAACAATGACTTGCTTGTACATTATTTGCCACAAATGTCCAGTTACACATAAGTTGAACATAGAGATTTTTCTGGGCTACATCTTCTTTTTATTCTTGAGTACAACATTTCAGGGCTTGTTCTGGCCCCATCATCAGGTCAAACTGAACAGTCACTGTTCAGTTTTACCTGATGATGGGGCCAGAACAAGCCCTGAACTGTTCAGTTTTACCTGATGATGGGGCCAGAACAAGCCCTGAACTGTTCAGTTTTACCTGATGATGGGGCCAGAACAAGCCCCGAACTGTTCAGTTTTACCTGATGATGGGGCCAGAACAAGCCCCGAACTGTTCAGTTTTACCTGATGATGGGGCCAGAACAAGCCCTGAACTGTTCAGTTTTACCTGATGATGGGGCCAGAACAAGCCCTGAACTGTTCAGTTTTACCTGATGATGGGGCCAGAACAAGCCCTGAACTGTTCAGTTTTACCTGATGATGGGGCCAGAACAAGCCCCGAACTGTTCAGTTTTACCTGATGATGGGGCCAGAACAAGCCCTGAAACGTTGTACTCAAGAATAAAAAGAAGATGTAACCCCAGAAAATCTCTATGTTCATCAAATAGCATCTTCTAAAGTGCCAATCAAGCATCTACATATAAGTTATCCTTAATATAACAAGAGTGAGTGAGTGAGATTAGTTTTACACCGCTTTTAGCAATATTCCAGCAATATCACGGCAGGATGACATAACAAGACAAGATGTAAGTGTTGAAGATGTTCCTACCCAGATGCTGTAGATACTGGACTGTCCGGTCGTGACCTTTCAATGGAGAGTCTGGACGTGCTGCCTGCTTCATCAACAGGTTCAGGGCTGGAACAAAACATTCAACAAGCTACCAACAAGCATCATTATGTCTTTCATCAAGATCTGCATTGGTAGTAGATGTTTTCAGACATGTTCTTTTATTACAGTGCAGTTTAACCATTTAATGATTTTTTCCATATAGGAAAATGGACAAAGCCAAATTGTGTTCTGTAAGAGCAGATCTATATTAAAATGAGTGGGTTGGGTTTGAAGAGTCGGTATTGCACCAATCTTTCCCGGGACTTTGATAAGAAAACATACTGACATAATGATTCTATATGAACATGAACAGACATATTTGTGACACTTACATCTTGATGGAGACTATATTTACTTATCAAAACCCTCCCTTCTGATGTAAACCAACCTTTCTGGCGGGTTAAACCCACATTTCTGATCAAACCCATCTGTCCGATGGAGACCCACCTTTTTGATTGAGATTTTTCTTCTCATACAGGATGATGAGCTCACTGAACTTCTCCTTCTTCTTGAGCACCCGCTCGCTCTCCTCCACGTGGCAGTTGTTGTCCTTCAGTCTCAGCAGCGGTGCCACAAGCGCATCATTTGTCTACAACCATCAGGCACCATGGAAGTACAGTGCTCTAATCACAAGTATCAGGACACATATAATTGTCCTACCATCCTAAGAAAGTGAACATTTTGAGCTTAGTCAGCAGTATTACATCTTTACACAAAAGGGTCTCTGTATAACGGAGACCATACAAACCAATCCTTCACCGCATTTTGTCTATAATAATAATAATAATAATAATTGCTTTGTATAGCCCCTATTTCCAGCTATATGCAGCTGCTCAATGGTGCTTTACACGTTACAGTTCAATCACTAGATGAGAAAAGAAATGTTTTGAGTTTTCTCTTAAAAATTGGGAGAGAGTCACTGTTCCTGATGTCAAGGGGGACCGCGTTCCATAGGGCAGGAGCTGCAACTGAGAAGGCACGATCTCCAGCCTTTGTTGATGTTGATGGAACAACCAGTTTCTCCTTCTGGGCAGAACGTAAGGTTCTAGATGGGTGGTAGACCGATAGCAGGTCCTTTTAATAAGTAGGCGATGATTCAACATTGAGAACATTGTACGTCAAGACGAGCAACTTGAAACTGACCCGATGTCTAATGGGCAACCAGTGTAAATCTCTGAGAATTGGCGTAATGTGACAATCCTTTCTGGTGCGGGTGACAACACGAGCAGCCTTGTTCTGAACTCTCTGTAAGTGAGAGATTACGCCATCTGTAAGTGAGAGATTACGCCAGATCCAAACACTCGAGAGTTACAGTAATCGAGTCTACTTGTTACTTGAGACTGAATCAGGATTTTGCTAGTTTCGTTATCAAGGTACTTTCGGAGTTTGCCGATGTTAGCGATATGGACATTTGCTGCTTTGGCTGTGTTCAGTGCCTGATGTTTACCTGACATGGTTCTATCCATGACAACGCCCAGGTTCTTGACAGTTGTAGCTGTAGCAACACAGATCTTGTCCACAGATAGATTGATGGTAACTGGAATCTTGGCGAGCTGTTGTTGAGTACCAAACATAATGAATTCTGTTTTGTCCTTGTTAAGTTGCAGGTAATTAGCAGACATCCAATCATGAACGTCGCTGATGCAGTCTTGTATGCTCTGGATTCCTGTGCTAACATTCGATGGTCTAACCGCCACATACAACTGCTGATCATCGGCGTATCCATGAAAGTCCAAAGAGTGACCTTTCATGATGTTCCCCAGTGGCTGGATATAGCACGTGAACAAAACAGGACCTAACACGGATCCTTGCGGGACACCATGTTTGAGGACTTTCGGGGCTGATGTTACACCGTCCACTTGCACACGCATAGATCGGTTTTGCAAGTAAGACTCGATCCAGGCAAGAACCCTGCCAGAGATGCCGAATGTGTGTTTCAGCCTTGACATAAGGATGTTGTGACATATGGAGTCAAAGGCCGCGGAGAGGTCTAGGAGGACGAGAAGAACAATCTCCTTGCGATCCATGGCTCGGAGTACGCCATTTTGTACTCTCACAAGGGCTGTTTCAGTGCTGTGAGATCGCTTATAGGCCGACTGAAAAATTTCAGTTAGTCCGTGATCATTGATGTGTGATTGCAGTTGGGAGAGAACAACCTTTTCCATGATTTTTGAAAGGAAACTGAGGTTGGAGACTGGGCGTAGGTTTTTAAAAACATCCGGATCCAGTGATTGTTTCTTTAGAATGGGCGTCACAATTGCTTTCTTGAAGCATTGCGGGAATACGCCGGATTCTAAAGAAGAGTTGATCACTGAGGATGTTACAATGACGAACATACAGTCATGTCCGATGTAGACTGTTGATGTTTTCAACAAACAGGCGTTAACTGACATCTGCCGGATTGTGACTGGGATTTACTTATTCTTCACATTACACTAATGCGCACTGGTTCACACCACAGGTCCTTGTGTCCTTGTGAGGATTCAAGATTTATAAAATGATTTATTTTAGATGACCCCCGACTCGAAATGCTTCACAGTACGATCTAGTCACAAATGGATGATGACATGTCCGCACAAAACAGGGGTGTGGTCGAAGCAAGCCCTCTGATTGGTCAATGCTGGTAAATCTGCACATTCTTTACAAATTCACAGGAATGTTTCCTTTCATTGACTGCTTGACTTGGAAATGTAAGAATTTTTTTCCAGAGAAAGCTTCTCAAAAGAAAGCATCAGTTGTAAATGACTTCTTCACAAGCATCAACCAACCAGAGGGCTTGTTGGACCACAACGTCATCCATTTGCGATGGTGGCATGGCGATTGGCAAAGCAGGCGGATGGGGTACACTGAAGTGTCCAGCCTTGTCATGATTTATTGTAATGTGAAGCATTTTGATTCGGGGGTCATCTCAAATTTTTAATATATTTTTTAAATCATTAATCCTCGCAAAGACACAAGGGCCTGTGGTACACACGTGTCACTATGGCAATGTTAATCATCAAAATATCTAGTCCAGACTTGATTATTTGTTGAAAAAAGCTAAACACTGCAAAGTGCAGTAAACAACAAACAAACAACAGATATTTGTTTCTGACCAATGACATTCGTATCCCCAAATTAACACAATAAGATTGCACTTAACATACAGTCAATAAATCCTCCTCAATATTCTGGCAAAGTAACGCATCTTTCACTAATTTGACTTTCTGCTAAAGCACAAGAAAGAACCTTAACACAGCTATAATCAGTTCGTATAATCAGTTCTCACCTGGAGGTAACATTTCAGGAGGGTTGTGTCTATAATCTGTTCTCACCTGGAGGTAACATTTCAGGAGAGTTGTGTCTATAATCTGTTCTCACCTGGAGGTAACATTTCAGGAGAGTTGTGTTCTCACCTGGAGGTATCAGGAAAGTTCTCACCTGGAGGTAACATTTCAGGAGAGTTGTGTCTATAATCTGTTCTCACCTGGAGGTAACATTTCAGGAGAGTTGTGTCTACAATCTGTTCTCACCTGGAGGTAACATTTCAGGAGAGTTGTGTCTATAATCAGTTCTCACCTGGAGGTAACATTTCAGGAGAGTTGTGTCTATAATCAGTTCTCACCTGGAGGTAACATTTCAGGAGAGTTGTGTCTATAATCTGTTCTCACCTGGAGGTAACATTTCAGGAGAGTTGTGACTATAATCTGTTCTCACCTGGAGGTAACATTTCAGGAGAGTTGTTTTTTATAATCAATTCTCACCTGGAGGTAACATTTCAGGAGAGTTGTGTCTATTATCAGTTCTCACCTGGAGGTAATATTTCAGGAGAGTTGTGACTATAATCTGTTCTCACCTGGAGGTAACATTTCAGGAGAGTTGTGTCTACAATCTGTTCTCACCTGGAGGTAACATTTCAGGAGAGTTGTGACTATAATCAGTTCTCACCTGGAGGTAACATTTCAGGAGAGTTATGTCTACAATCTGTTCTCACCTGGAGGTAACATTTCAGGAAAGTTGTTTCTATTATCAGTTCTCACCTGGAGGTAACATTTCAGGAGAGTTGTGTCTACAATCTGTTCTCACCTGGAGGTAACATTTCAGGAGAGTTGTGTCTATAATCAGTTCTCACCTGGAGGTAATATTTCAGGAGAGTTGTGACTATAATCAGTTCTCACCTGGAGGTAACATTTCAGGAAAGTTGTTTCTATTATCAGTTCTCACCTGGAGGTAATATTTCAGGAGAGTTATGTCTACAATCTGTTCTCACCTGGAGGTAACATTTCAGGAGAGTTATGTCTACAATCTGTTCTCACCTGGAGGTAACATTTCAGGAGAGTTGTGTCTATAATCAGTTCTCACCTGGAGGTAACATTTCAGGAGAGTTGTGTCTACAATCTGTTCTCACCTGGAGGTAACATTTCAGGAGAGTTATGTCTACAATCTGTTCTCACCTGGAGGTAACATTTCAGGAGAGTTGTTTTTTATAATCAATTCTCACCTGGAGGTAACATTTCAGGAGAGTTGTGTCTATGATCTGGCTCAGCTGCTTCTTGGAGCGGATGGTGACGTTGCCCTCCACAATGGCCGTTGTTGCCATGTCCTTGTTCAGGTCCTTCAGTAGCTGGTTTCTCTTCTATAATGCAATGTCAGAGTCGGTATGACACAATGTAGGGGTGAGTATAACACAAAGTAGGGGTGAGTATTACACAAAGTAGGGGTGAGTATTACACAATGTGTCAATGAGTATAACAATGTGAGAGTGAGTATAACACAATGTATGAGTGGGTATTTAACACAATATGAGAGAATTATAACACAATGTGGTACTGAGTATAACACAATGTGGGGGTGAGTATAACACCATGTAAGAGTGGGTATCTAACACAATATGAGAGAAAGAATGACACAATGTGAGAGTGAGTATGTAACACAATATTACAGTGGATATGACACAATATGGGAGTGGGTATAAAATAATGAGGGAGGGAGTATAACACAATGTAGGGGTGGTATAACACAATGTAGGAGTGGGTATTAACACAATATGAAAAAAAGTTTGACACAATGTGAGAGTGAGATGGTAACGCAATATTACAGTGGGTATGACACAATATGGGATTGGGTATAACATAATGAGGGAGGGAGTATAACACAATGTAGGGTTGGTATAACAATGTATGAGTGGGTATTTAACACAATATGAGAAAAAGTATGACACAATGTGAGAGTGAGTATGTAACGCAATATTACAGTGGGTATGACACAATATGGGATTGGGTATAACATAATGAGGGAGGGAGTATAACACAATGTAGGGGTGGTATAACGTACATGTGTATAAGACAATGTGGGGCTGGATAATGTGTAACACAATGTAGGAATGGGTTTAACACTGTGTGGGAATGGGTTTAACACAATATGGGAATGGGTTTAACACTATGTAGAAATAGGTGTAACACAGGGGTAATGGGTTTGACACAATATGAAAATGGGTTTAACACTATGTAGGAATAGGTTTAACACTGTGGGAATGGGTTTGACACTGTAGAAATAGGTTTAACACTTTGGGAATGGGTTTCACGCTATGTAGAAATGGGTTTAACACTGTGTGGAAATGGGTTTAACACAATATGAGAATGGGTTTAACACTGTGGGAATGGGTTTGACACTATGTAGAAATAGGTTTTGAACTTTGTAGGAATGGGTTTAACACTGTGTGGGAATGGGTATAACACAATGTGGGGTTGGTTTAATGTATAACACATTGTGGAACGGTGTTATGTATAACACAAGGCACAAGTGGATGTCAACCAATATGGCACAGGGTTATATTCAACACAATGTGAGTGTGTATAACACAAGCTTCAGTATGAACAAAGCCAACAAACAACTCTTTCACAAGCACTCTCTGGCATTTGACATACATCAACAGTTCAGTTATTTAACAATCATCTTGTCTCACTGACATCCTAATGACTACTAGCAGGCAATTTGCAACAAAAAACTGACAGTGTACTGAACATAACTACTGCCACAGACAACTGCTGTCATTTGTTCTGTGTTTTTTCGCAAATATCCCGTGTAAGCTGAGTGTAACACTTTGATTTTTATGAAACTATATGCAAATGCGTTTCTGTTCACAGGGGGAATCAAAACAATTTAATTTAAACTTTCACTTCTATTTACTGTATTGCACTGCCTTCATCTCTAAATAGCATACGGGAGGTGGGGTAGCCTAGTGGTTAAAGCGTTGGCTCGTCAAGCCGAAGACCCAGGTTCGAATCCCCACATGGGTACAATGTGTGAAGCGCATTTCTGGTGTCCCCCGCCGTGATGTTGCTGGAATATTGCTAAAAGCGGCGTAAAAGCAAACTCAGTTAGTCAGTCAGTCTAAATAGCATACCAAATGAATAAGAACAACTTTCATCAATTTGACATCTGCATATCGACACAATCCAATATTACTCAAAACAACCTACAGATACAAGACACTATGTACTGCCAATTTCACAATATATTCTGGCTATTTGCATAAATGTATAAATGTTTTGAAATCATTGTTTTGGAAAGAAAAGACAGATTGTAATTATTGCCAAAACTTAATGAACATCGTGTTGTTGGATTTTTGTTTACACGACTTAGTAATGTGACATCTCGTTTTCGTTATACTGGAGCATACTTTTGGTATTTCCAAACCAGAGTCAACTTTTATCATCTTTTTCATATACTTATTTCTTTCTTGTGATTAAGAAGAGCAAAAGTAAATCAATCCCAAAATACTGGTACTCAACAAAGGAGAGTGGAGTATAATGTGTCTTCAGCAATGATCATTGTTTTAGTTGTTGTTTCAGCTGGTAAATGACCAGGCCCAGACAATCAAGTGGTCGATGTTGTGAACACCGATTCAGGGTACAATGGCATGCTTTAATTAAGTCACCACCTGATCACCTTAGTCACCACTGGCAACAAGCACATTTTGCTCAGGACCAATTCTAACAGGTTCCTACAGGTTTACTACATGTAAGTACAGAAATAATACAGCATAGCTGGTTATCTGTTCAGTGACCCGTGAAGATCTGGGATAGAAGGTGTATTCCCATACTGCCTACAGGTTCAAACAACATGATACTGTCCAGTGATCAAGAAGTGAAGTTAATGGGAATACACCGATCTGACCTGTTCTACCCCTGCTAAAATGAACTTGACCAGTTACTTGGTTAATGAACGGTAACTTTACTCGTTTCACAATTACACACAACTGACAAGGATGTCCATTTCGTTGCCATGGACTCCGATATGTGACGGGACCCAGATAAAATGTATTTGATTATTTTGTTTTGGGGTATAGTATTCTTCTGTATATGTTATTTATTAGATCTGGTCTTTTTGTTGTAGAGTAATTTTTGAGAGCTTGTATGGAACTTAAGGAATCCGTAAAAATGCAGATGGTAGTGTTTGTTTGGTCAGATGTTGTTTGCAAGGCCTGAACTATGGCTGCGAGTTCTGCTGTGAAGATACTGGAGTTTGCCGGGAGATTATAGGATTGTTTAAGGCTTTTTTGGGGTATGTAGATACCAAAACCAGTAGTACGCTTCTGATTTCAAGCACATTCTAACAAATTCCAAATTAATTAAACCACTCACTAAATATCTCATTCACACAAAATTATACCAAACAATCTAGCAACAAAAACAATAATACCAATTTTTACCATTCTAAAAATTGTTATAAATATGTATATATGTTCTTTTAACTTTTTAAATCAGTTTTCTCTTTTTATCAAGTTTTTAACCTTTTATATATTTATCATTATTCACTTAATAAATATGTTTTTAAACATGGGTTGGTTAAAAAATACAATAACAATAACCATTTACTACACCACATCTATATTAAATTCAAAATCTCTAATACTCTTTACCTATTTCATTTTTTTTTTACATTTTTAATTCGGCATCCCATTCAAATTCCCTTAACACTCAGTTGTTGGGTGTTTTTTTTGGGTAGTAACACCACTCTTTCAAAATTTCTATTTTTCGTTCCCCTCATTTCTTAATAAGTGTACTAACCCGTCGCCGAAATATCTTAGTTGTGTGTGCGACATTAAATAAAGCAAATAACTACTACTACCTTACTCCAAACGACACACCCCTTCTTCATTGATAATTGGGCTGTTCCATTATTCTACAGGGCAAAAAATCATTTCCCACGCTGCCTACAATATTTTTGTTGGCAGTTTGGGATGTAGGCAGTTTGGAACTGTAGGCAGTATTGGACCTAACCAGTTAGAATTGATCTTCAGCAACCAATGCTTGTCGTAAGAAGCGACTAACGGGATCAGGCATTGATCACCAGATTGTCTGGTCCAGACGCAATTATTTACAGACCAACACCATATAGCTGGAATATTGCTGAGTGCAGCACTGAACAACAAACCAACAACATGCGTTCAACTAGAACCGACCTCAGTGAGATAGTCGATGAGTGCAAGCATTCCCTTCTCCAGCTCTCCGCCCTCCAGGTCCGGCAGTCGGTCCGGATACTCCAGCTGGTTCCGGAAGTCCTGGGGAAGCAGGTTGGGGTACAACCCTATGACATGAGATGGATCTGAAACAGGGATGATGGGTATTTACATACTGTGTTGAGATCATTGGAATCATGTGATGCAAGCTTGAAAACACTGAAAATAACCATAAGACACCAGGCTAAGTCGACCGACAATAAAGTGAGTCAAGTCTTATCAAATGGCTATTGGGGACAAGTTTAATTCAGAATCAGCAAAGGGAGAGATGTATATGAGAGAGCTACTGAGTGAAAAGTACGGCACATGAAGAAGTGAAGGAGTGAGTGAGAGAAAAATAAAAGAAATGAAGGAAAAAGTAAAGAAGTGAAGGAGTGAAAAAGCGAAGGAGTGAGAGAGAAAAGATGAAGGAGTGAGAGAGAAAAAGATGGAATAAGAGAGAAAAAGGTGAAGGAGTGAGAGAGAAAAAGACGAAGGAGTGAGAGAAAAAGATGAAGGAGTGAGAGAGAAAAAGATGAAGGAATAAGAGAGAAAAAGGTGGAGTGAGAGAGAAAAAGATGAAGGAGTGAGAGAGAAAAAGATGAAGGAGTGAGAGAAAAAGATGAAGGAGTGAGAAAAAACACATGGAGTGAGAGAGAAAAAGGTGAAGTTTGAGAAGAAGTAAGGTGAAGGAGTGAGTGAGTGAAAGAGTGGATGAGTGGAGTTATGTGTCAGCAGAAATCTCTCATGAGTGAGTGACCGAGGAAGCGTAGGAGAGAGGGAGGGGATCTGGTTACACACTCAATGTTGTTTATTGTACTACTTCAACCATCCTAGTAATCAGTGATACATGATGTAGGAGAACAGAAACATGGTGCAGTGGAGGAGACAATGTACACCACGTACCTGTCCCGAGGGAGTCAAATATCTTCATGGATTCCTCAAACTTGTGCTGACAGAACAGATCAAAGGCATACAGGTTGTTGATGCTTCTGATCCTCTTCTCCTTCTCGGAGTCAGGTTCATCTTGCATTTCCTGTAACCATGGTAACCAACAGATATTCCATGAAATCAGAAGATGCTGATAGCATGAGCAATTATTATTAATAACATTGTATAATGATGATAATATAGTCATTGGTTGAGTGCCTCTCATAAGTTAGTGATAATTGCTCCAAGACGCTAAAGAAGGCAACATTGATGTATGGTTCAGTGGAGTGAGTGAGTGAATTTAGTTTTACGCCGCACTCAGCAATATTCCAGCTATATGGTGACATTCTGTAAATAATCGAATCTGGACCAGACAATCCAGTGATCAACAGCATGAGCATCGATCTGCGCAATTGGGAACCAATGACATGTGTCAACCAAGTCAGCAAGCCTGACCACCCGATCCCGTTAGTCGCTTCTTACGACAAGCATGGGTTACTGAAGATCAATATTAAAACCCGGACCTTCACGGGTATGGTTCAGTGGAACACCAGCCTGAAGGAAAGAGTCCTTAGTGGAATCTTAATGTACGTCAGACCTTGAACTGTTGCAAAATAGAGTACTGGTCCAGCTTTCAAACCTGAAGGTGCCAGTGTGTGATTTTGGCACGGACAACAGATCCTGGCTATCTGATCTAACAGACTGGAATGGAGTGTGGACTTTCACGTGCTCAATTATGTTGAGGTGTGGCACAGTCTGCCATGTCACATGTGACAACCACACCCCCTTTTACTCTGTTGCTTTGACAAGCATGGAGAGCTGAGACCATGCATGCCCACATCGACACGGAGCACCAGTAACAGCACTCTCTTCATGGACATACAATCAGCTCTCGTTAATCCGACACTCATTAATCCGACAATCACGTTAATCCGACAAAAAATTAGGGAACCATTTAAAACAGTGATAATTACTCTCGTTAATCCGACATTCTCACATTCCGACTCCGACACACCAATCTAGCAGCTGATTATTGTAAATACATTGTAAAAACATTCGTTAATCCGACAATCAACACAGCCGGTCGGATGATCCGACCGTATACAAACAATCACACGTGAGTGGTAATTAGCGTGTGCCTTACTGGCTGCTTGACACCGGCGTCAGGGAACATCACACTTGTTAATTAGGAACACAGGATAATTAATTGAGACGATTTAATCAAGAAATAACAGTAGAGCGAGCTATAAATTATATATGTTATGATACACGCCTGATTGTACATTAGACGTCCACGTGTTATTATGGAATTAGTTGTATGGAAACTGTAACATATTCAACATCCGGGTCATAATGGCAGCTGATATGCGGTAAAAACAAACGTGAGTTTTGTGCCAAATGTGGTCATGAAATAGATATGAAACTGTTTGCTTATGTGATTATATATGTATGTTATGCCATCTATGAATGTTAATAAATGAAAACAAGTATGTATTGTTAGTATTTTTTATTTCTGTAAATATTTTTACATACGATGAAGATAACTAGATCTACCATTTCTGATATGCATGCAACAGTATGACGATCATGACATTTAGTAAACATTGATATTTTCACACAAATACATTAATCCGACATTTTCGTTAATCCGACATATTTCTCTGCAACCACAAGTGTCGGATTAACGAGAGTTGACTGTATGAAGCTTCAGTAACATATGATCTACCGTTTGCAATAGTTTTTAAATTTTAATTTATCCAAACTGACTACTTTATTGACTGCATAAATTTAAAGACAAATTTTAAAAAAGGAATCTAAAACAAATACTACCATAACAGGAAAGGGGAACATAGGCTCAAGATATTGCTTTTGAGTACAAGATTGACATGTTGGTATGGAAATCATGTATGTACATTTGGTTGATTTTACATGAATAAATCTGAAAGATCTCTGTAGTTTGATCAAAGCCAAGTTAAAAGGATCCTCTAGTTTTGCAGTGACTGATTTGTTTGTTGCAACATACAACATAAAGGTACGTGTCCATTACAGTGAGTGAGTGAGTGAGTGAGTGAGTGAGTGAGTGAGTGGGTGGGTGGGTGAGTGAGTGAGTGAGTGAGTGAGTGAGTGAGTGAGTGAGTGAGTGAGTGAGTGAGTGAGTGAGTGAGTGAGTGAGTGAGTGAGTGAGTGAGTGAGTGAGTGAGTGAGTGAGTGAGTGAGTGAGTGAGTGAGTGAGTGAGTGAGTGAGTGAGTGAGTGAGTGAGTTGGGTTTCATGCCGCTTTTAGCAATATCCCAGCAATATCACATTACATATATTGTACCCATGTAGGGAATCAAACCTGGTCTTCAGTGTGATGAAAGAATACCTTAACCACAAGGCTAACCCACCGCCCCAGCAAGGCAGATAGAACTATGCAGTATCAAGTGAACTACTCATGCTTGTTTCTGTTTTTATGCCACACTCAGCAATATGGCAGTCGTCTGTAAACAACCAAGTCCATGCGACTGGGATACAATGATATGCATCACTAAGTCTGACCACCCTATTCTGTTAATCGTCTCTTATGACACACACACGTACCCGTGAAGATCCAGGGTAGAATAAGTCTTCAGCAACCTATGCTTGCCACAAAAGGCGACTATTCTTGTCGTGAGCGGCAACTAACGGGATCGGGTGGTCAGGCTCGTTGACTTGGTTGACACATGACATCGGTCCTAATTCAAGATCGATGCTCATGCTCTTGATCACTGGATTGTCTGGTCCAGACTCGATTATTTACAGGCCACCGCCATATAGCTGGAATATTGCTGAGTGTGGCGTAAAACTAAACTCACTCACTCACTCTTATGAGATACATGGGTTCCAGAAGATCCATTCTCTTCACATGATGAACTACTTACGGCTAAGTGTAGAGCCAGTTTGAACTCCTTCCCGTGCAGCAGCTGTTTAATCTGGTGAGAAATGGGCATTGGGGCCAGTCTCCACACAAAGTTGGATGAAGCTACATACACAGTGTTGCTGGAAACAGACCACAGGAATAACAGCTTCAGGAATTTTTAAATGATTCAATTAAAGTAATCCTAACTCATACTCATTTGGCTCATAATAAATTAAAACTAATTTAACTGGTAATAAATTCAAACTTATTTCACTTCAAAGGCGGATCCAGAAATTTTCAAAGGGGTGGGGGATGTCGGGTCGGGTCACTAATCTCTGGTGGATCAGTGACGTTGAAGGCTCATTTTCTGAATTGCCAACAAATACCAACATCATCAAGTTAACTTCCTTAACACTAATCTGATATGATGTGAATATCATTGTCATCGGAAAATGACAAATAACAGAATAAATAAATAACAGACAAATAACAGAAATAAATTCTTTTTGTCCTTCAACTACTTCAACTAGAAGAGTCCATTTTTGGATCATAGGGGTGCCACTAGTTTACCATTGCGTGATCGACAGTCAACAGACCATGAAATGTTGTTTTAAGACAGTAGGCGAATTGGGATGTAGGCGAAATGAGAACATACCAATGTAGGCCTATTAGCATCCAGACATACGGTACTTACCTCCCCTGACACACCAGTCTTGGCTTGGAGAGCTCTATACTCTGGATGTTCAGGTTAGGTTCAATAGTTCGGACTTCTACATACTTGGGTAAGATGGCTAACACATAGGGTGCATTATTTTCTGGAAGAAACAGAAAGATTTGAAATGTATATTTTCACTGATGTTTGCTTTGTAATGAAATTGTTACACATTTCACATATCAACATTTCCATTCACCATTAAAACTATACTACTCAACTTTTCATTGGGATATCTTTATCTCTTCATCATACACAAAACTGATTCTCATAATATTTCAAGTGAAAATTTACACAGAATGACATCTGATTATCCCTATCTAAAGTTAAGTTCAGCATACTGACTGGTATCTGAACCAAAACAGGCTATCTTTTAATATCTAAAACTTCAATTATATTTTGTATTTACAAGCACAATGCATGGTATTTTTTAATACTGACCAATCATTTCAAGAGCCTTTTAACTCATTTAAAAGCATAAGAAGGGAAGAATCAATTGAAATTATTTTCTTTCTTGTTTATATCATCAAGTTGATTTTTTGATGAGGCCATATTTAAAACATGCTTCCAAAAATTATAAACAACTAACTTTAAAAATAAAACAATCTGTAATTCGATTGACTAAACAAACTGATACAGTGCCCATCACTGATATCTCAGGCATCAACTTACCTATAGCTATGGGAATGTCTGACCACTTGACCGGCTCCTTCCGAGCAGGTTTGCCCTCGCCATCTATCAAAATGGACATTTCATCTCGACCAAGTGCCAGACGGTCATTGGCTAGTTTGGTGACAATGGGCTCCACCTGGCGGCTCCCAACAGGGAACAGTTCCGTCAGCTCACCATTTTTAACCTGAAATACAAGCCAAATGTCTCCTACACATTTTCTTAAAATTCACTGATAACATTAGTTCTCAATGTATTGTGAAATATAGGTGATATGAAAATCTGAAACATAACTTTTTATCTAAATTTGGATGCAGATTAAACCCTCAATTTAATCCAAATCCTCATTGGTATGAAAAAAGGGTAAAACATTTGCCTCGTAAGTACTTAGGTTGTACTGTAAAACTTTTGAGGCATATTTTGCAAAAACAATTTCAAGATCAACCCTTTAAGATCCACGTTACAATTGATCTTCAGCAAAGTCAAGTTTGTTGCAAGAGGTGAATAACAGGATTGGGTGGTCAGGCTCGCTGACTTGGTTGATGCATGTCATTGTATCCTGATTGCATAGATCATTGATGATAAAATAAAATGGCAATCACTGATTATTTACAGACTGAAGTCAAATAGCTAGAAAATTGCTGAGTGTGGCGTTAAATAACATGATGACATGCAATATCAACAGTTAACAGTACAAGCACAGTTGAGTGAGTGAGTGAAACTGCTTACGCTGATCATGTAGTACTCTCTGCGGAATCCCACACATAGAGATTCCTTACACCAAGCCATTGCTCGCGGAATATCGTACAGACTCAGGTCTGCCTGCAGAAATAATGCAATTTTTACAAACAAAACAAAAACATATGCTAACAATATAACATATATTTCAGCTCTGAAATGAAGAGTACTGATATTTCCGTACCACCAAACCACAAGGCATAGAGGGCCATACTTTAGCATTAACATAAATATAACTTAATGTATACAAAATTTCATATTTTAGCCTCAAAATATGCATAATTTCATATCTGAGCATTAAGATAGGCATAATTTCATATTTCATCATTAGATATTCATAATTTCATATTTCAGCATTAAGATTTCCATAACTTCATATTTCAGCATTAGATATTCATAATTTCATATTTGAGCAATAGCTGAATTTTTCTTCATAATTACGTGCCATGATTCCAATCCAAAAAGGGCATGACAATACTATTAACCCAGACAATAGATTAATGTGCTTTTAATTTCATTCTCAGTACACTGGGGAGGATAAAATCCAAGCTGCCTTTGAGGCACTAGAAGGGAACAGTCACTTCACCATCTCATCCAACCCTGGATCCATTCATTTTCACCATTCCCAGAGTATATTGCCAACAAAATCACTGTCCAAGGTGACAACATATGTTGTGCATGTGTTTTGGACTCGGTCAGGACGCCAAACGCAGTCACCCATCCAACTTCTAAACACTGCTTCACGTCCCTGATCTGTGTACTGTGTGTTGTAAACAGGATAAGTACTTAAGAGCTCCCTTCAGCTGGTTTCACTTACCAACAATTCATGGAAGTCTCTGTTTTTCCAGTAAAACAACTGAAACACACAAAAATGATGACTGACTGAGTTTGGTTTTATGCTGCTTTTAGCAATATTCCAGCAACATCACGGCGGGGGACACCAGAAATGGGCTTCACACCATGTACCCATGTGGGGATTCGAACCCGGGTCTTCGGCGTGACGAGCCAACGCTTTAACCACTAGGCTACCCCACCGCCCCTCAAAAAAATGATGAAGAAAGGTGAATTCCTTTGAATAAACAAAGTGACATTTAACTTCAAACTTGACCTTTAATGGACAGCTTTGTGAAGGTTGTTGCAAAGACATAGGTCTAGCTGATTGAAGCATTAGAATAGGGAGCCTTTTGAACCTGTTTAATGTAATCAGAATATACCAGTGACAATAAGTAGACCTTAGAAATGTAAAAATATTTTATCAGTTTATTTCATGAAAAGTGACAACTGCCACTCTTGCAGTCTGATGATTAGTATATTCTTCAGCGCTTGACCACAGCTTGACCACTGCTTTACAGAACCTGACACCCCTGAACCTTACACTGCCTGAAGCATGTTAAGATTTCAGTGTTTCTGCTGCCAATAGGAAGGTAGAGTTTGTTGTAAGAGATTAACATATATAACATACACATGGAAATATCTTTGAATATTTTGTGTTTGGTGTTAGAATTATTAGATATCTGTGACCAAATTACATGACACCTAGTCCTTGCATGAATTCCTTAATCATTTAGAATCCTTATTTCTGTAGAAATGTTACAAAGATTTGGAACCATCCTTGACTGACCTGCACCCTTCTCTTGGAGGACACACCTATCCTGAGAGTGGTCTGTGCCCCACCAGTGATGGAGGAATTTTTCTGTAAAGACAAACATCATTCAGCATTCTGCTCACATGCATCTTGTACATATTCATTGTGACCTCATCAGTCTTTTAATATTCTTCAATGACAATTTGACTTGAACACCTCATTTATTGCTCTGACAAGATGGTATATTTTTTTCTCATGTACTCACTATTAATGAGCTATCTCAGACAGCACATGTACATACAGGTAACTGCAACATGATTGGCCCTCTAGGGTACTTAATCATCATTCAGGTAAATAAGGTCTTAACAATTCCATCAATCCAAAATATAAAGCTGCTTGATTGAATCGAAGTTTAATTTCCATATACATCCATCAAGAAAGTGAGAAACTGGGACAGAGAAGAAAAACTTGTAGATCCGCATCTTCCCTCAGATAATAGGATAATTTGGATTTTACATTTTTTCATAACTACATCATAAAGTTATCATATTCTTTCATGATAGTCACAGTCTGACTACCAGTTTTAATGGCTTATGTCACATACCTGTACATCTGCGGCAAACAGCGTAGCGCCCTTCGTCTTAGTGACGCAGGTGACGAGGCCAAACGACTGCAGGTCGTGTACGCTGATGACATTATCTGAACACGACATGTACGCTGATGACATTATCTGAACACAACATGTATGCGCTGATGACATTATCTGAACCGACGACTGATACATCTGAACACGATTATGTACGCTGATGACATTATCTGAACACGACATGTACGCTGATGACATTATCTGAACACGACATGTACACTGATGACATTATCTGAACACGACATGTATGCTGATGACATTATCTGAACACGACATGTACGCTGATGACATTATCTGAACACGACATGTACGCTGATGACATTATCTGAACACGACATGTACAAAACAAGGCGGTTATCAGTTCGTGATTGTTGAATGGGGTAAAATAAGCAAGCCAGTTTGTTGCTACAATAAATATGATATTTAGAGAAACAAAATATATTATGCATTTACTGTCAACTACACTACGTTTCGATCCGTGAGTAGACGCAATATATATGATTGTGAATTCTTTGAATAATGTGGACCAAAGTTACTGCCAGTTGTCTGTGGTCTTTGTTTGCCGCAATTAGGACCCCATCACGGGGGATCGACTTATGCACGAAACATACCATTTTGACACTGATTTTAAGGGTCAAGGGGGTCGTCTTATCCATGGGGTCGTCTTATAGACGGTAATATACGGTAACAATTACCTTCATGTATGCTGAAAATATTGTATGGAGAATTTCACCTGAGAATTTTTAATATAAACTTCATTAACACAAGTTGATCAAAGTCAAAACTTTAATGGACAAGCGTTGATATATTTTTTGCAAAAAGACACAAAGGCAAGATTCCATTTATCATCCAAAAACATTCTTCCTAATTTTCTCAGTTTGAAAACAGTTATAATCAATGTTTTGAGTGAAACAAAAGTGGAGCCAACAGAAAATAATTACATCGTCTAATTGTTATACATTAACATCATCATGGCAATATCTAGAATATACTGCATGATCTCATCAAAGCAACATTAGATGTGAGGCATTGTTTGGATGACACAGAAACATGATCAGGGGTGGAAATAACCCATTGCCCCACGCCCGAGTCCAGTGTTTTTTTCTGTCGGGCAAGCATATTTGTATATCACACTGTACTGGTGTCTAGTTGACTTTCCAATGTTAATTATGTTGTTTATTCAAAAAATCAACAAGAAAATCGGCCAGTATAGTGGAAAAATTATCAGGGCAAGTGATTTTACTTGTGCCACTGTACCGTAGTACACTAGCAATTTTAAAGTTATTTCCAGCCCTGAACATGATACAATCACTTTCATGTTCAACATTTTGTAAATCAGTCATTGACAAAATAAACAACTTCTGTCAAAATAACATGTCAGTAACATCCCATACAGTGATATATTCATTCTTCAACTGATATGCAAAGTAGATATTCTTAGGTCACAAAAATATTTTTACTTCAATACAAAATATCGCAGGGATTTACAGGATGCGAATTCCTGCGTCCTATACGCATAAACATTTACAATGGACACAACAAAATTTATGAGCGCATCCACAGGGACTCAGAAAAAGTCCAAATACTTTTTGTAAAAATTCCAATCAAGTGACAATTTTATCACTGAGTTTGCTACTGGCTGGGTTATGGTATCATTTGCAATTTAATTACTGTAACAATGTGATGATCATAATACACAATACAATACCAGTATCAATAATAATATTTAAGTGTCTGGGACCCCCATTTTGTTGTCCAGGACCCCTGAAAATTAAGAGTATGAGTCTAGGGACCCTCAAATACAGGACTCAAGGTAAATCCCTCATATCGTATGGCAGGATGACCACAATGACTGCAGTAATTCCAATAGTGACAATTGACAAGTTACAAGTTTAGTTTTGCTTTTGAGGCCTCATGGCCCATAGTGCTAAGATACAAAAATCATACAGTGCGCAAGATATATTGATATACAACGCAACACAATGTAATGCCAATACATGACTTTTGATAAAAAATTTTGTCAAAATCTCTCCCGCTACACGAGCTTGACACCTGGAGGCAGTACTAAAGGCTCGTTTATCTGGTTGACATGTCATCGTATCTCAATTACATAGATCAATGCTCATGAGGTCAGTCACTGGATTATATGGTCCAGACTTGATTATTTATAGACAGACCCCATATACAGAGTTTTACACAGACTTTGAAAAAAGAAAGTCATGGTGACCCACAGTATGTATTTTTGGGAGTCATTTTCAATATTTGGGAGTCATGAATATTTTCTGTAATATTTATGTGTGTATATCAAAAAGCAAGAGTTTTGCACAGATTTTATTGTTTTGTGTTGTATTGTCATTTATATGTTAGTTAATAAATAGTATATTTTTCACTGTTCAGTTCAGTCATAACAAACTCCAGTATACTGAACACATAATCAGGCTTGTGATTTATTCAATGTAACATACAGTTATAAACATGAATTGAAAGAAATATCTAAATTAATGAAGACCTCACAAAAACTATCATTGTTTGCTATCAAATTGATTTTATTGACTCTGAACTGAATTGTGAGGGTCACTCATAAAACTTGCGTCAAGCATGACTCGTAAAATAATATTTTGAGAGTCTTTAACAAAATTGTTGCGTCAAATACGCAGGAATCCCGCATCATGTAAAACCCTGCATATACCTTGATAGTGCTGAGTTTGGTGTTAAACAATCAACAAACAAAAACAACAAACTAAGGTGATGCAACTCACCAGAGAGACTTATCAGAATGTAGTGGTCAGGAACAGCAGTCAACTGTAACAGATTAAACAGGCAACACTGTAGTAATGTCTTGCAAACTGGAACACTGTAGTAATGTCCTGCAGAGGTTTCGCCATGACAGCTGCCCCAAGGTTGTATTTACAGAAATCCCTACAAAGAAAGGGTGCAACAGAACCTACCTGTGTGATTGGTTTCTTGGAAAAGGATTTGTTTGATCTCTCCAAGGTAACCTCAAATTTCTTTTCTGAAAAAAAAAAAAGCAACATAATTGTCATCATTGTTTAGGTTCAACTACACCAAATAGGAATCAGTAATCTAACAAGCAGTTTTTGGAGGGATCCTTCAAGCAGATTGAATCATCTGGTAGATCTGACTGGATGATTTTGTGTAAGACTTTTGAGTGTGTTTTTTTAAATGTACTCATGTCCAGTAAATAAAACTGGCCAAATCTTTCAATATTTTGTGCTGCCTTATGACCACAGATATTTTCAAGTGGGTGATATTTTGTACAGACGTTGGGTGAGACTGATTAAGAGCTGTTTAAACTAGTCCTTTTTTTGTCATTATTGCTTGTTTAAGACGAGACTCATTCTCTTCCCACAAAGGTTACTTGTCATATCTTCCTACGAACCTCTGTTCTAATATGGCGATATTTTCTGGTTCTCACAAAATCCCCTAGCGACAAAAAATCGTAACACGAATTATCTCCCTTCTTTCTATCCACTCAGAACACGTGTTACATCGACTTAGATCCAACTTGACTAATACAAGCACATATGTGGGGCCACAAATATCCCTCCTCTGCTGGGGACTTGTGTTGATGCGACACACAAGACACACATTTAATGGCTAGCTTGTCCATTGCCAACGAGGGCGATGGAGACGCCATTGATCCTCCATTACATGACTGAGTTCTGTCTAGAAGAAACATTTGCGCATCGTGCAGGGGAAGAGGTTCTAGTTTTTCAGAAACATACGGAAATTACCGAGGCCTTGTGAATGATCACTTTTGAAACAACGTCACTGATTGCACAACTAAATCTGATTGCAATCAATCACGAGTCCTGAACACTTGCACTATGAAAGGGTGGAATTAGAACAGAGGTTCGTAGGAAGATATGACAAGTAACCTCTGTGGCAAGAGAATGGACGAGACTGGGCACACACACACATGCACGCACGCATGCACATGCACACACACACACACATATATATATATAATAGCTGTTGAGGGCTTAGTTACTTTAAAAAAACAAAGAAACATAACTATAGAAGTCAATGGGAAAATATATGTTTATGTAACCTTAAAGGTTCTTTTATAGATTTTCTTTTACCCCTTGCATAAATAACTGGAAATCTGTATTTATACAGTGAGCGCATAAGTGTTTACATTAATACCTCCACAGATGTCAAATTATTGAATATAAACCTTTTAATAGAACAGTTGACTAAACTAAACATGTAGCCACACATAGGCCTATGTCAAGGTCCTCACCTTGCACCCTTGTACTTCTTTTGATCTTGTACTGCAGCAGGTGCCCTTGCTTTGTTCCAACCAGCAAAATATCATCTGAAGGAAAACATAGGCAATGGATAGATAGTCTTCTGGATAGGAACACTGTATAGGAGGTGGTGGTGGTGGAATTGGGTTTAACGTCGTGCTTGAGAATATTTCACTCATGTGACGACGTGCATGCGTGTGTATGTGTATGTGTGGCTGCTTGTACTAGCCCAGACTTAAGCTGGTTTTATAGTGCTAGCCCACTGAGATACCATGCCGCAGTGAAGCATGAATATCCCACTCAGACACATTATACTGACTCCGAGCCGACCAGTCCTTGTTGTACCCATTAATGCCAAGCGCCAGACAGGGACCAACAAGTACCATATTTTAACGTCTTTTGGTATGACGCGGTCAGGGATCGAACCCGCGACCTTTCGCACTCCGGGCGGACGCTCTAACCACTACACCACGGAGGCAGTCCTGTATAGGAGGACTAATGCCAGTTCTTTACAGCCTGCTGGGCGGTGGGGTAGCCTAGTGGTTGAAGCGTTGGCTCGTCACGCCGAAGACCCGGGTTCGAATCCCCACATGGGTACTATGTGTGAAGCCCATTTCTGGTGTCCCCCGCCGTGATGTTGCTGGAATATTGCTAAAAGCGGCGTAAAACCAAAACAAAACTGCCCACTGGGACACCATGCATCAGTTTTGAGACCCTATTCAGAAACAGTATCCACGCTCCCTCTAACGACTAACCCATAAGGATGGCGGGATAGCCTAGTGGTTAAAGCATTAGCTTGTTATGCCGATTTTTAATAAGGAACACATATTCTATACAGTGTTTGGTAGTGCCAGTAATAGCTAGCCCTCCCCGCTTGCATAGGTAATTAATGAATGAGTGACTAAGTTAAAATTTAAAGTCACTCTGGCAATATTTCAGCCATATCGTGACTAAAACAGGTCATATTTAAATAATTAACAATGTTATGATATTCATGCTGTTGATCACTGGATAGTCTGGTCCAGACTTAATTATTTACAGACCACCATCATATAGTCGGAACAGTGCACAATGTGGGCTTGATACCAATGACACAGACACATTATATTTAAATAAATGACACTGAATGCATTTAGTAGATGTCGCTGCTGTCAACTGCTGTTTTCAGACAGATCTTTTCCAGGCTCCGACTTCCTTATGCAAAAACAAACATTAAAGCCATAGTCCAAAGCCAAGGATTTGTATTAAATTCTAGCAAGATTAGTTACAAAAAAGCTTACTCAAACTTCATGAAAAACATTAAACACGACTTCAACATAACATGTCAGCAGTTGTTTTCAGCTTAACTGATCTACATGTATTTATGCATCTAAAGCAACATCTTGTGTAGCTATTGCGCTCTTAATTTTGTGCTGCAACATATAAAATAATGTTCTCACTGTAATATACAGCTCACTGTACTCATGGTTACATTTCATTGATTTTTCAATTATGCTTGCTGAATCATCTAACCTGATTGTTTATCATTTGTTTATCATATTTACTGCATCATTGTCAAAGCTGTACCATCATTATTGATGCATCCATAATGAATCTACTATGACATTCCAGGTCAGAATGGGCCCCTGTACCTCATACCAAGAGCTGACAAATATAGGGATTGTGTGGGCTGATATGATTTGCCGATTATTTTTAATTCAAATCTGAGTTGGAAGTTGATCTGTTGAATCTGTTCTCTGAACAAGATGCAATTCCTTGATTAGAAGATTCAGGTTAGCTTGGTCAGCTGCAACCCATGCTTGTTGTATGAGAACAATCAGGACCAGGGCCCCGTTTCACAAAGCTCTCGTAAGCCTAAGATCTCGTAACTTTTCTCGTAGCAGTCGTACTTCCTATACTGTAGCATATGAGGTACAAATGCTACGAGAAAAGTTATGAGATCTTAGGCTTACGAGAGCTTTGTGAAACGGGGCCCAGGGCCTCTTTTCACAAAGCACTAAGGTGATCGTAAGTCACTAAGGTAACCTTAGTGCAATGTTAAAGAATTGCAGTTACCGTTAACCTTAGTAAACATGGTAAAGGTTGTTTCGTGAAAGGAGGCCGTGGGTGCCGTTGTACAAAACAACCTTAGCGCTAAGACTACCTTAAGTCTATGTTAAGGTATGGGAGCTACGATCACCTTAGCGGTAAGATCGCTTTATATAACGATTGATGCATGCCATTGTATTCCAGTTGTGAAGATGCCATGTAATTTCTGTACATTCACTTAAACATTTAGGGATATTATGAAGTTTTATTAAGGGAAATTGATATTCTCAATGATATTTTTTATTTATTTACCCTAAATTTCAAAGTAAAGCAAAATGTGATGCAGGGTGAAGACATCTATCACTTCAGTGAAACGTGTGTGTCTGCTTGTACTCATCCTGACGTGTGCCAGATTTAAAGTGCTAGCCCACCTAGATGTCATGTTTAATATGGATACCCTACTCAAACATAGTAGATGGACAACAAGCACAGATTTGCTTTATCTCCTGTATGGTGGAAACAGTAACCATAAGAACCAGCTTTTAGCATCTTTGGTATGTAGGTGATGGGAACACCAACCTTCTGGTCGCTGGGCTGACGTCTGTACAACAGCAGGCATACCATACAAACGGTGAACAAATCATATGGACATAGGTTTGAAGCTAACTGCAATAGGGAGTTTATGCACTACATCCCGATATCAAATTTTCAAGATTAGACTCATAGTGACGAAAAACATTATGTACCAAAGCCTATTTGTCTCCCCTCGCCGCCATCTTTGACGATTTGTATGCCGTTTCGGGATGCTATGACTGCCGTGTTGGGATGCTATGAATGCCGTTTTGTACGCTCAGCGACCGTTCTCGCGCGCTCTTGTAGCTGATATGCGAGTTTTGTTTCCATTTCAAATGATTAGTCTTCCATTACAGATGTATTGTTTCGGTATTAGAGGATATTGTTGCAGTTTTGGTGATTTTTGTTCTGTTTTGGTGTATATGAGTTCAGTTTTGATGATTTGTTCACCGTTTGTATGGTAGGCCTGAACAGTGGTGGTTAATACCAACAAATCTCAGACTCGAACCAATGACTACCAGATCCTGGCATATCGAATCGACACATCTCTACACAGTCAACTGTGATTCTCAAGACAAGTTGGCCTTCTGAACCTTATAACTTTTGAGAAACAATTTTTAACGACCATTGATCAAATTGAATATTACAATGATATTCTTTCTCAGTTGAGAGCATTTTTCGCATTAAACACCTTGTGACAATATCCGTGTATAGTTACTTGAAAGGTGAAACTAACGAAATCGGCTACAGCATATGTGAGAGAATCTTATTGCACTCATAACCAGGAAATGACAGTCTCACCAAAACAAACACAAATGGGAAGCAACACCTACCATAACATGCTATGGATTCAATTTGGAGAGGGAGTTTCTCCAGAATTGGAGCTGCCTCATAAGCGTCGTGCATTATGTGTTGTCAAAATACTCTTCACATGTCGATCGTGTCCCGAAAGACTGTCCTTTCACAATGTTTTGCACAATTTCACCGAAGAGCAGACATCGCACATGACCAGATTTTGCTGACTCCGCGACTAGGAGAGTTCTCATTTAACTCTCTGAAAATGTGTGCGCGCTCGTAGCTGAGCGCGTCGAGTTCAAACCCCGGTCGTCACTTAAAGTCTGTTTTTCGAATTATTTTTATTTGAACTGTTAAACAGCAGTGTTTGGATTTGTGAATTTATGTGTAGGTGGAAAAGACATTAAACATTGGACATTCCAAAATTCAGATTAAAGAATTGTTCTGCGACGAGAAGGTGTACGGATTTTTCACAGTTAATATATACGACAGATGGGTTTTGGGGTTCGGGTTTGATGACCCAATGGCTTGGGTACAAAATCTAATGCCCAATTCTAGTCTCCCAGCTGCGATGTGGCTAGAATATTGCTGACACTGTTTCTCAATATCAATTAAAACACCTCAGTAAGTGGTATAATTTCTCTTTGTTTTTTTACAAATGTCAATAGTGATGATGTGATGGGTACCTTCTAAGACACTGTTTACAGAGGCTGACGTAAAAGGGGTTTTCGTAACTAAGGCACAATGATGGGGACCTGATTTTCTGTATAATAAACAGGTGAAGGCAGGTCTGTACCTGTAAAGATATATAGTCTTCGGCAACCAATGCTTGTCGTAAGAGGCGACTAACCTTGGTTGATGCGTTTCATCGCATCCCAAATGTGCAGATCGATGTTAATCACTGGATTGTCTGCTTCCGACTAAGTTATTTAAAGACGATATCCATGTAGCTGGAATATTGTTGATAGCGGCCTTTATAACAAACAAACAAACAATATTATATATGCTCTGTTATGAACAGCATCAGCTTCAATGCAATAATTCCGATAACCTTCAGTCGCCCTGACCTATATCGTTCAGTGTAATTTAGGGTCTGTAAAACACACTGACCGAGGATCATAATCAGAAGTTGAACCCAAGATCAGCGGATCCTTGCACAAATGGGGTAGTTACTCTGCTTATAAAGATTCCACGCCTAAATACTGCCGGTTGTGAGAGTTAATGCTGCCTTCCGACTATGGAGTAACTGGCCTTACTGACAATTGCCACGTGAAGTCACAGGCGAGAGTGAACGCAGTCTTAAAACCACTAGACCTACAGAGCCCACAGAGTCCACTAGCGATCGTTGCCAATGAACTTCCATAAGATACATGTCAACTCTTTTTATACAAAACACACACCGCCATGCTTCGCTTTAAGGAATATGACAGCAGTAAAAACAACAACTATTGTCAAAGTGAACCAGTAAATGTGTATAAATCCTAAACACGTTGATTGTACCATACTTTAGGTTTAAACATGCATAGAATCTGAATATGTTTAGGCACTAAATGTGGGAAAGACCACACATACCACTGACTTCAGAGACCTGTTCTTTAACCACGACATAAAAAAAGCTTACCTGAAAATTGAATATTCATTTAAATTCGAATATATACAGGCGTCAAAATTGAAGTGGAGAATCAAATATTTACAGACAACATGATGCTATGGTTGATGAAAAGTTATGAGACACACATTTTTAGAAATTATCAGCCGAGTGTTTTTTAATGTGGTCACATCATATATTGTAAATAATACATTATCATGCCTACCTTTAGCAGTTATGACAAAGAAAATCATAACATAATCTTTGTTATATTTTGCAGATGCATAACATTAAAAAGAACATCGTTGTGTCTTACTTACAGCAAGGTCCTTTTCACGACCATTCTATTTCACTACTGTTTTAATAAGCTAGTGAAAAGTATAATCGACCACCAATGTATTATTTTGTGGTATGAAATGTTACCAAGACAGTTATGGGCCTTTGTGTCACGTGACCGTTATTCTGCCAAAACGCTGTCTCCGTCGAAACGTAACTTTTTGTACAAGTTTGCTGGCGGTAAATTCGTAAAATGGATCGAAGGACGAGACAAAATCTGTTTTATTTTGACGGAAATGCAGACGTAACGTATGTGTCGTGATGTTTAGTTGTCAAACTTAACATTCCCAGTGATGAATTCCATGAGTTAACGTAGCCGAGAGCCGCGATTCACCTAACGTCACCGTAATATTTGAAGGATACGTACACGGGAATTCATAGCATATTATTAGTGGAATATCAATTTTAATTACACACGTACTATATCAGCTATGACATTTTTTCGTTCCTAATAACATGTCTGTGATCAAAGGAACTCGTCTATTGGTCAGTAAATAGGATATAGAATCGTAGATCTACGTTATTGTTGTATTTACTGATAGTTGTCGAGTTCCAGTGTCTATGGATAGTATTGATCCTTTCCATACAGGCATTCATTCAATTTCCTGAATTTACAAAGGTATTCGGTATAGATCTATTCATAAAAGAAAATCCCATTTCAGTTGAAATTGCCCCGAATTCCGCCATAACATAATGAAAAGACCACATTTAAAAGTAGTCATTAGACTATATTTTTTACTTATAATAATATAATTGTTGGGCGGTGTGGTAGCCTAGTGGTTAAAGTGTTCGCCCGTCACGCCAAAGACCCAGGTTCGATTCCCCACATAGGTACAATGGGTGAAGGCCATTTCTGGTGTTCCCCGCCCTGATAGTGATATTGATGGAATATTGCTAAAAGCGAGGTAAAACTAAACTCACTCACCCACTGATATACTTGTTAATTCTGGGTCTAGAATATTCTCACTGCAGGTATAACTTGTTCCTGTATTTGATTTTGTAGATTGCTGGAAATTCAAGCCTTGCAAGCAGCAGCAAGTTCAATACTTGATGCAAACAAGCACTACTCAGAGATGCTCATCCTGGGTGCCAACACACTACAAACATTTCTGACATCAGGTAAACCTGAGATCACATTATAGCCTGACTTAGAAACTGACACTAGTCTTGTAGTCCTCGACAATCTGCCCAATAGTTTATATATACAAAAACTAGGTAGAATTTTGTAGTTTTAACAAGTTTGGTACATGTTGTGAAGACTACTGAACTGAACTTTTTAGTTTCTATTGTTGCTTGCTTAGGTTGCCTTGACCTATATTATAATCTTTGTTTGGACCATAATGCCAAACTGGATCATGGTTGAAAATCCAGAATGGAAATGGGATGACTAGTCACAAATTCCAATCAAGGGAAGTAACTCTGTTTGTATTACTAGATGTAACTGTTTGTTCCTTCCAGAGTTACCATTCTTGCCAGGTGTACTGTAATGTTTATTGTAAGTTAATAAAGATTGGAATTGAGTGACGTTAGTTTTTCAAACTGCAGTAACAATTCCAATCAAGGGAAGTAACTCTGTATTACTTGAAGTCAAATAGACAGTTATTTTGTGAAATTATTGTCTTTTGTGTACTTCATTCATTATCCAGTGCACCAATGTTGGCAAGACAAGGCTTTGTATTGTTTATCATAAGTTAAAAAACACTGGAATTGAGTGACCTTAATTTTGATTTAAAAACCAGATTAAAGAGATAATTGCTTGATGTTGCTCCGACCTGTTTTAGAATTTGTGTGCCAGAAACACATGAACATTATGTCATATATTCAACAATGTCTTCCGTATCACCATTGTAATGTCAGAATGAACTGTGATTTATTAGGTTACATCAAAGCGTTCTATGTTGTGTATAGATCCAATGTATGAAACAACTGGCCGCAACTCATCACCCGGAATGGAACGGTTAATAGACATAATGATAAGAATCGCAAATTTCCACCAGGAAGTTTGGACTGAAGTGGATGGGCTGAGGCCGATGGAGTAAGTATTTTGAAGTGCATAGAACTCTTTTTGTCTTCCCTACAAACATGGCTGAATATTTCTTCGTGCACAATTCCTTTATTATTATTCTACCATCTTTGAAATTAATATCACTGTCCTAATAATAAAAAAGTAACCCATCTCGAAACCTATTTGGGTTCTCAAAAATATTTGGTAATCCTGTAACTGTTGCCATGACCATTACCAGTGATCAGGAACCATAGTGTATATAATTCTGTCCATATTGTAACACTAAAGTCAACTGAAGATCATACTAGAAGCCATGTTTCAACAAGCTGTCTCAGATGTATTTTACACACACTGTGGTGTAGAGTTGTTTCTGTGAGTAAAGGAGGTGAGGTGAGGTGAAATTGGGTTTATCGTTGTGCTTGAGAATATTTCGCTCAGACTTGCATGTGTGTGTATGTGTATGTGCACCTGCTTGTACTAGCCCAGACTGAAGCTGGTTTTATAGTGCTAGCCCACTGAGATACCATGCCGCAGTGAAGCAGAAATACCCCACTCAGACACATTATAATGACTCCGAGCCGACCAGTCCTTGTTGTACCCATTAATGCCGAGTGCCAGACAGGGACCAACAAGTACCATATTTTAACGTCTTTTAGTATGACGCGGTCTCGAACCCGCGACCTTCCGCACTCCGGGCGGACGCTCTAACCACTACACCAGGGAGGCGGTCGTGAGTAAAGGAAGGAACTGGTTGTTGGTTTGTTGCTAAGCGCCCTCACTCAGCAATATTCCAGTTGTATGACAACATTCCAGTTGTATGACAACATGCTGAAAATAATAAAGTCTGGTCCTGACAAACCAATGGATGACACCATGAACACATTTAGGTGTGATGACATGTGTCAACCAAGTCAGTGAGGTAGGCTACAGGATCTGGTTAGTCACCTCTTTCAGCAAGCATGGATTCAGAGCTACAGATAACTTTTTGGGTCATTGAGTTATTTATGTACTTGTGGTTCATTTCAATTGGGTATCCTAATTTTCCTTTGAGTAACCAAGTAAATTGTACCCGCTCCACTCGCTAACTCGAACTCAATTGCCATTTTCCATTAATTGTAAAAATATAATAAAGTTTTAATGTTGGTTCATGCATTAGTTATTTATATTTTGATCTGTAGTATGAGAAATGATAATAAAGACTGCAAGTTGCCAAGTTCATATGCTGAAATAGAACCTCTCAATATACCTCAGTTATTTCATCTATCCACCGGTAGGCAAGCTAAGATTTGACATTTTTGTGTGTACGCTTGTAAGATCAAATTTATTGAGTATTTACAAAAATTCAAGCGTACTTGTACTCAATAGACCTAATAGGAATTGAGTTTTCACATAATTATTTGCGTAATTTACGCAGATACGCAGCTTATCTGTACCTCTCTGTGGGTTGCTGTAGACCAATTCTAACCCGGATCTTCTCAGGTTGTATGTGTATGCGAAGGAAGTACATTAAGCATTGTGTTTGCAGGAAGGAGGTTCTACTATATGAGGAGCTGAAGAGAAAGTCCAATGAGCGCTGGAAACAACACCATAACCTAGAGCTCACCACAGAGAATGCGATGAAGGTACAAATACATTAGTACAGCTATATGTTTTCCCATACTAAGGTGTTTACAGAAAAAGAAAATAAGTCATTCAGCTGTTTGAAAAGAATTTAAGAAGGGTCAGTAGAATGATTACAAAATAAAAAATGTATTTCAAACCTGTCATTTATGTTGTTGGGGGCAATCTGTCAATAATCAAGTCTGGACCAGATAATCCAGTGATCATCAGCATGAGCATCGATCTATGCTGTTGGGATATGATGACATATATCAACCAAGTCAGCGAGACTGACCACCTGATTCTGTTAGTCGACAAAGACTATCCTGAGTTTATTTGAATATACAGTATCACTAATAGTTTTATTTTGTTGAAATTAGAACTCCAAGCTCATTTGCCCAGAGTTATGTGATCACTGTGCCTAATGTTTACATTGCACTATACACATAACTCTAGTCTAAGAGCTAAGATTTGCTTTCTGCAGGTGAATCTTTCTGTTTACAGGCTTATCTCACAAGTCTCCAAAAATGGCTGGATCTACATGACAATTCCAAGAAAAATAAATATGTGAATTTTGATGAGAGACTTGCAACCATTACTGGGAAAACTGATGTAGCTTTGACCAAATATCAATCTTTTTACAATAAAGAGTCTAAACACAGGGATGTTCTGGCACAAGTAAGTGTGGACATTTATCTGGAAGCAATAATATTGTGTTTTCTTTTGTGTTTGGTGAAAAATTGTGACAAATTCGGATCAACTGATTTACTGTGAAAGTGTTTGAAAATTTAAAAAATAGTTACAGGATAATGTCCTTTTTTAACTGTTTATTTGTGCTTGAAAGTTGAGGTATCATGCTGATTATGCTGGTTGGATGTATTTGGTTTAATGCTCAGGGATGAGAATTTTCCGCGGATCCGCGGAATTCCAGGAATTTGATAAGACCAAGGGTCATTTTTGTGAATCGTCTAAATCCGTTGACAATTGTATGAATGTCATAAATATCAGGCTAGTTTTCAGAGTTTTTCAGAGTTTTTCTCAAAACTTCTTTCTCATCCCTGAATTATGCTGACGTAAATGACTTTGGTGAAACACACAAGCACGTGTATGGTAATGACAAACCCTGAATCATGATATGGGTGAAGTGGGATGTGAACCTGCAATCATAGGTTCCTTGCAAGCACAAGGGACAGAACTCTGCACTGTGAATTATAGTGCTTTGCACCACTTATTCACCATTTGCCCACCATGTTGACAGGTAATGAAGGGTATTTGTTGATGTAGGAAAATGATCAAGAATAGTGAGTGAGTTTAGTTTTATACCACTGTTAGCAATATTCCAGCAATATCATGGTGGAGAACACCATAAATGGGCTTCACACATTGTACCCATGTTGGGAATCAAACCCGGACCTTTGTCATGATGAACCACTAGGCTACCCCTACCGCTCCTGATCAAGAAAATATTTGGTACATTAAGCAGAATGTGAATTACAATGTGAATATTGCATCTGACCAGGAAATGAGTTGAACAGTTTTATTTTTCCCCAAGGACACAGAAGAATTGAAATCTGACTTCATGAAACAGGAGACAGCAAACTTGGAGTTAATGTTTGACATTCTCAGTGACCTGTTGATGAAGATGGAGAAGGTTGCACCTCAGGCACTAGAGTAAGTTTTATTTTGATAAAGTTGATTAAAGTTGATTTATAGTCTGTTTGCAGTGAAAACGTACCGATGAATTTCACTTTAAACAAAAAAGTAAATCACATAACGTGAAATTAAGATTGCGAATCCTCATGATTTTACCTTGACAATTGAACTTTTAAATATCAGAATTTGATTCTACTTATGATAAAAGTTGTTTAACAAACGATCATAGTTTCAAATCGCTATTATTGGTTTGTATTACAAGGGGGTAAGCGCAGTAGTTGGAATAGTGAAACAAATGCACGTGCGGTACGTGATGAGTTAACTTAGACTACCTTAGAAACCAACCCTTCTTGTTCTCTGGCTTTCATTTAATGTGCATACCCCATTGTAATACATACCAATAAAAACGATTTGAAACTATGATCTTTTGTTGATTAAAATTCTGAGATTTTAATGTTCAATTGGCAAGGTAAAATCAGGAGGATTCGCAATCTTAATTTCACTTTATGTGATTTACTTTTTTGTTTAAAGTGAAATTCATCGGTACGTTTTCACTGCAAACAGACTATAGTTGAATAGATTCTGTGTGGGTGTAAGGCTCTAAATAACAATTGTCAACTTTTGATAAATTTTTGTTTAAAATTAGCCAATACTCTTTTCATACGGAGCAAAAGAACAAAACAAAAATAACTCAAACTCATGATCAGCATGAATTTGGCATATTTTCCCAATTAAATACATGTACTCACTTCCACACAGTACATTCATTCTGCACTGCTTAAAAATAGTCAACATAAATGAAGAATATGAATAAGACTGACTGACTGACTGAGTTTGGTTTTACGCCCCTTTTAGCAATATTCCAGCAACATCACGGCGGGGAACACCAGAAATGGGCTTCACACATTGTACCCATGTGGGGATTCGAACCCGGGTCTTCGACGCGTGACGAGCCAACGCTTTAACCACTAGGCTACCCCACAGCCCCAATATGAATAAGAACATAAAGTAAACAAAAAACATACAGATCAAGATATTCAAGGGGCACAACTACTTTTGCTGTCGACTTACAGATTCATTATTTACAAATTATATTTGTTCATCAATGTTAATTTTTCTTGGTTTAAATGATTCAAAGTTACTTTTTCAAGTTTAGAAACTTTACAAACTTATAAACATGATAGACTAAGTTAGGAAACTCAGATTTCACGAGGGTTCCAGTACTTGTCTATACAGAACAAGGGATGCATATCTAGCTCAGTAGCTGACAATATCCCTCTCAGGATAGTTGTTTGTGTAAAAAGAGGATTGGTATATTGTGTTTCAGTGACCTGCTGTTCCTGAATTTTGGGCCAGAGGAACCAGACATTGACATGATGGCAGCGGAAGGATGGGGAGCTCATCTACAAGAATATGCATTCCAGAAATATCAGGTCAGCGGTATTCTTTTTTCTCTTTTTTTAAATTATTTTGTTAAGATCAGTGGTATTCTATATGATCAACATACCTTTCTCATTCCACTAAACTATAAGGGGACATGTTTTGTGTACTTGTTCTAAATATCTTCATGTGAAACACACATGTTGACGCACAAGGCATCTGGTCTCTCATCTAGTAATTTTGAGTAAATTCACAAATTTAGAGTTTGTATACTTTATATAAAATACATACCTATTTTCTGAAAAGGTTTTACTGTTTTATTTATTCCATTGTTTACATGTCACAGTATTGTTGACATAACATTATTGGTTTGTAGTGAAAATAAAATTACTTTTCTGGATTAAATGGACATGTTTTGGTTTTTAGAATCTTTTTTTTTGTGGTAATTACATAATAAAACAATTATGGACTGGTGAATTCAGTCAATACCTGTTTTTATGGACCCACGAAAAGCAATATTGACCGAGGACGAAGTCCAGATTTCTTTCATGGTTTCATTTTTATTTTTTATCATATGGAGTGTATTTCTTCTGAAATAAAGTTCTCAAGGGCAAGTCAAGTGTGATAGGATGCTTATTCTCTTTGATCTACCACCTTACGATTTGTATCAACTTGAATCTTATGCTTCAGCATCACTGAGCAGTACTGGTTGGACATTAGGCCTATATAAGTGCATTATTATTATTATTTTTATATTATCTATATCAGAACGACACATGATTCTGAAACAACCTCATAACAAAGTGTTCCCGTTCCTTCCTGTTCCTCTGACAACATAAGCGTTCCATCTGCTGCAGGGACCTGAAGGAACAGATCCAAGGTGTCCTCAGCCAATTCTGAAGGAAGGAGACTTCAGGAAAAATAAGCCATGTCCTACAAATATATTCTGCGTTGTATCTGATGCAGAGGAATCTGACATAGATGATCAACCTGGAGCTGCAGGACCCCTGAATTCTAAAATGAAATCCAAAACTAAGGATGCTGGGAGCAAATATGAAAGTCCGAAATATATGATGCCAAAACGCTCAGCTCGCACCACACCTGTCACCTCAAGTGAAAATCTGACAGCGGAGCCAGTTATCCAGCAACCCATTGGGCCCCGCTTAGAACAACTAGACTCTGATGACACATATTCTGATGAATCCTCAAAGAAATATGGAAAAGCGGAAGATAAAGATTCAAAGAAAATGAAGAGTAATATCTTCAAAGATGCTCCACTTAAGGAAAAGAGGGGTTTTGGTGCAAACAAATCCAGTCAGAATGAAAGCAGCGCACAAGGAAACAGTGCGTTTACATCCCCTGAAATAGGACATTCTGATGTCAGCATGGATAATGTCATGCAGGTGTTCTTAGAATCCTGCAAATTTTCCCCGGTTCCAGATGAAGACAAGGCTACCAATGGCAACATGACAGCCAATGATAAGGGATCTGCCTCAGGATCCAAGAGTCAGAGCCGTATTCCAATCAGCAAATCTCGAAGACAGCAAGCTACAGACAACAAAAAAGATCATGATAAATCGCAAACAAAAAAATCAAAGCCGATGACAACTTGTCATTTAAAGACACGACAAGTGTCACAGATCAAAACAAGGACAGCTCCTGTTCTAAAGGAAAGGATAGAGATTGTACAGGCGCCAAGGCACAACAAAAGGATGGATCTGTTTCCAAGGAACAAGACAGTGCAACATCTGCATCCATTGATAAAGATACCCTTAGCTCAAAACTGAAGAAAAATAGTTTCTTCTCGAAAATCCCCACAGGAGTGACCAATCACTGGCAGCTAGAAAGGACTCCAATAAAGAAACTGAAGTAAAGCAGACCAGCAAAGATAGCAGTGGATGTCAAGAGAAAGAGAAATTACAAGTACAATTTTCAGGTATGATATATAGAGTGATGAATGTTTAATGCTGCAGTCAACAATAGCAAGCTTATTGACAGCAACCTGTTATTGATAGTCTGGACTTGGAAACCAGTGATGAATGGATGAACAAAGATCCATGCAAAACAGTGTTGACAGTCTTTCTGCCAAATAACAGGTGAAAGTTGAGGTGAAATGAGGATTAACACATCCAAGTTATATGCCTTGTATGTACATGTATGTTTGGCTGGTTGTACAATCTGGAAAATGGTGGTTTTATTGTGTTAGCCCTATCAGGCACAATATACTCACTCTGAATCAATCAGTCATTGTTTTATCCCCATGATGCTGATCACCAGGCAGTGTAACAACAATTATAACCCACGAGGTCAAAGTATTGGTAGTTGCATACTAATCTCTTACGTCACACGAGTGTCGTATCGCGTTGACCTGAGTCGTAACGACTTGACCTGAGATTCTAACGATTTGATTGGATAACCGATGACCTCTCAATTAGGTCACATTCTGACGTCAGTACTTTTTCATTCATAACAAACACGTGAATTCATTCATTCTACAACTTAAATGCATTGTGGGAATGTAAACATTGCGAACGTTGCCGTGTCGCTGTTTAATTGTGAGTCGAACTGAGACATTATATCCGTCGAAAAACATAAACGCAATGTTTCCACCAGTTATGTTAGCCGAATGAAGCAACTGGAAACCAAGAAACGAGGTGCTACGGAGTAGTTTACTATAGGAGGCTGTACGAGGCGATGACAACTGACATGCATCGTGACGTCGGTTACCAAGGCAGTGACGTCATTACAGTGTGATGTCATGCAAATATTGTACTACAGTACAAAACTCTTCCTCAACCTCTTTATGAAACCGGTTTTGGTTTGAAACCAAAATATTAACAAAAATACGCTATTTTGTCAATTTAATGCATGTAAGAAGAGGGTAATAAATTAAATACCACACAAGGTCTCATTACATACGAATTATACGAAACTCGTGACCTTCCTATGTTATCTGACCTTGTGACCTTCCTATGTTATCTGACCTTGCTTTCGCTCGGTCAGATACCATAGGAAGGACACTTGTTTCATATAATTCGTATGTAATGAGACCTCATGTAGTATTCTCTATGTACAATTCTATTAGCATCTATTGGTATGATGCAACAAGGTATCAAACTACCAACCTTATTAGCGGTGTTCCGATTAGTTGAAATAATCGAAGATTGATCGAAGTGACCAAATGACCAAGCAATCGATCACATTTTCTCATAATCGAACACAAACAATTTTGGAAATGCTGTTTTAGTCTTTGAAACACTTGACAATGGAACATATCTTTGAAGTTGTCAGGGCCTGAAAACTAGTTTCATTCTTAGAAAACTCACTTCACTAACTGAAAAGTCATGACTGAATATTTCTTGAAGACTCCAGGAAGTTTATGTTCATGATATATTAGTCATCACTTTAAAGTAGCAAGTTGCATCATGTTATAAATATCTGCAATAACAGCCTGGATAGGAAAATCTGAAAAATGACGCTTACCAATTTTTTTTCGATGATTGTTCGTTGGTAATGAAGCAATCATCAGTTGTGAGATTTCAACCAATTCCCAACACTAAACCTTATGCTCTCAGAGTACATACTCTATCCACTAGAGAACATGGGGGCAGCAACAAAGCCTGACCACCCAATCCTCATTTTAGTTAGTAATTACAAGCATGAAGTAATATTGCTTCTCACTACTCACTGTCCTACAATCTCTCGATACATATTGCCATCAACCTTGTAATGCTGTGTAATGCTGGGCGATCTGTGCACATGTGTTCTAGACTTTCAAGGATAACATTCTTGAAATATTGTGTACTGGTAACAGGCAGGGTAGGAAGAACAATATTTTTTGATTTTAATCCACATTTGTGAAAGTTTGAAATATAATTTTCCAGTTACAAAATAAGTTATAATATCTGTGAAAGGTGCCACTAGCTTTCATACATGTTTGCCCAACACCAGACTACAGTATTAAAATAATATTGTGATTGTTTGTTGTAGAGGATTCTGTTGAGGAAATAAAGCTGAGCAGGTCTTTTAGAGTTGGCAATAAGAAAAAACATCCCCAAATCAGTGACAAGGCATCAAGCAAGGATGACAAAAACACAGGTATGAAAGGCAAAGTTCTTCATTAAATTACATATACATGTAATTCAGAATTCTATAAGGATTTAGAAATACATGTAGTTTGATTGGTCAGTGAGAGGTATCAAACCACATTAAAACAGTGGATTTGATGGCTGCATCTCCGAGTTAATATTCTCATTCATTGATGGTAGTGATATTAACAAAGAGATGTGAAGCAATTACAATAATCATGATAATATCCAGTGTGACAATTATTTTTGTGTGCCAAGTTGTGTAGCAATAAACTGTATGCAGAAAACATGATATGAATCGACTAATAGTGTATGTCAAGTTTTAGGGACAACAGCTTGATCTTTTGGGGCTTTGTTTAGCTGACTGTGATCAAGGAGTTTAGAATTTATCACCCTATTTTTCCTTCGATAGTTTGTTAAATTTTGTGTGTTTGATGGAACATAAATCAGACACAGTTAATGAACTTGGTCTACAACTGCATGGAGGTGTCTCTATAAGTCCAAGCAACAACTGAGTGTCATCTGTTCAATCTTTTCATCAGGTGAGACTCCCAGCACCAGTCAGGATGTGACACAGATGAGTGATGTGACGGTTGTTGTATTGAAGGACAGGCGGAAAATAGACCCTGAGGAAATCTCCATCAGAGCTGGTAGGTTTTCCATCTTATTCCTGTTCATAAACCGAAACCAAACTGGAACTGAAACGGTTCTAGAAAAAACTAATCTTCATAAACCATGCAAAATCAACCACATCTACCCTATTAATTTTGAGTTGTTTGCAGTCAAATATATGTATATTAAAACTGTAGTATTGCAGCACTGCGTAATTTCTCAGCAAAGTGTTCTCAGCTTACAAACCATTGTTCCTTATAGATCTTATTTACTGATAATATACAGGTGTCACATGAGTGAGTGAGTTTAGTTTTACGCCACTTTTGGCGATATTCCAGCAATCTCACGGTGAGAACACCAGAAATGGGCTTCACACGTACCTATGTACAAGGAATCGAACCCTTTTCTTCAGTGTCACGAGCAAGCGCTTTTACCACTAGGCTACACAACCACCCCTGTCACATATACAAGCACTCTTGTAAATTATATAAAATCACACTTCATCTTGTTTATTGTCACTCATGGTTGTTGTGAGCCCATGCAACATGTGACACACCTGGGGATGCTGTTGGAGGTCTGATGGTATCTATATAATGCATGGCTCCATCAAAATGTGGTATTCACCGAAAACACTTAACAACTTTCAGTATCTTGTAATAGTTGTCCTTTATCCAATCACTGTGTCCATATCTGCTCCAGGGATGAAGATCAAACAGACGCGTGGAGCAGATAAAGATGGCATGGCTTATGGATACAAGAAGACAAGGTTTGGACTGAATAAGTATGGCCTCTACCCTGCTGACCATGTCTCCCTGTACAGCACGAGTTGATTTCCATGAAGACATGTCGCGAGTCCAGCAAATACTCACACCACTGATCAGTCTCCTGTACATCACAGGTTCGACATGTCCATGAGGCGCCTCATGTAACCTCATCATATCCACACTGCTGACAAAGTACCTGTGTTCAGCATGGGCTGATCTCAGTCGACACTGGCACAATATCCACACCCTGTACTTGATTATCGTTACTTTTGTCTAATCTTGCTCAGATGCGATATAATGGAATAAGAGTCCTTTCGTAACTTACAAACGTTCGTAACTGTGTGGTTTATCATAGATTTGTGGATTAGGACCAAACATATTACATCCGATATTCCGTGTGTACATGTATATATGTTGGAGACAAGAGTGTTGATCTGTAATTTCTATACAGTATATCATCCAAGACTTGACCATAGGGTGTCTGGAGGAGTTACATCTAGTTACCCACAGAGGAATATGTAGGATAATGCATTATACTGGTTGTACATGCTAATTGATGTATTTCTTTTACACATGTTACATGGTACATTCTGTTACCATAGTGTTTATGAGAATAATTTTCAATGTTTTTGCTTCTAACTAATATTTTCAAAATGTTTCTGGTAAACAGATACTGGTAAAAGTTAAATTGTACATTATAAATTCTTATGTCAAATTTCAGATGATTTATATAGGAAAATCTGTGATTTTCAATACATTGTAAATTGATACCATAAAATAATACTTATTCACTGCAGGGTTTAGTGGAAGAATTTCTTACAGTTACAAATGTTACACATACTATTTATTGTTACTATTTAAAGCAGAGCTGGTGATTTCTTGTTTTGAGGACTCTGTAATATATTGTACAATATTGTTAAAATTTTAATAATGTATATCCAAGGATACCTCAGATCCTCTGTTATTGCATTCTAATACGTTTAAGTCAATGTGTTGCCTGAATATATAAATATTTAATTGTTGCATGTATATGAAGTTTTTTTCCTAATGTCGGATGATTTGCTTGGTTGGTTGAGTGTTCAAATTGTTTTACAGTAGAGTGTAATGAGTGAGTATGGTTTTACGCCGCTTTTAGCAATATTCCATCAACATCACGGCAGGGGACACCAGAAATGGGCTTCACACATTGTACCCATGTGGGGAATCGAACCCAGGTCTTCGGCGTAACGAGCTTTAACGCTTCAACCACTAGGCTACCCCACCACCCCAGAGTAAAATGAACACAAAGGGACCACAAATTTGATTTTGTTTATGAGACACTTTTCGACTAAAAATTATAGCAAGATTAGGTACCCAAAATAGATTGTTATGAGTGTTTTTGTTATTTAAACATGGTGTAATGTATTATCTCATGTATTATCTCAGAGTGTCAGCTTCATGTTGTAGCAAAGTCAATTGCGAAGAATGCTGTAGATGTTCACGATGTTGATAGAGCTAAACATGGGCATAGTGCTGACAGACTCAGGGACCGTTAATAATTTATGGCTGGGGGGTGATGATGATTGTTATGGAGAAGCATGTACAATGTGAATGACCCCCCCCTTAAATTTATGGACAAAGTAAGTGACCCCCCTGCATGTTATGTACAAAGTCAATTCCCCCTTTTATTTTTAAAGCATGATTTAAAAATATTTTTGTACAAAATTGATGACCCCTCCTAGAAACGTGTACAAAATTGATGCCCCCCATACCTCCCCAGAACAAAAGAAAAATCCCCCCTAGCCATAAATTATGAACGGTCCCTAAGAGGCAAATTTGGGATTCAAATGCATGGTCCGTAATTTTTCCATAATGTGAGTGAGTGAGTGAGCAGCAATATACTGGTTGGGTACACCAGAACATCACATATTATACTGATGACGGGAAACTAATCCAGGCCTTTGGCAGGACAAATAAACTCTTTAACCACTAAGCTACGTCATCACCCTGTACTGTCAGAAATACAGAACTTGATGCACGCTTGAACTGAAGACCCCCAGACAAGCTAAGAATTGTATTTAGAGAGACCTCAGAGTTGAATCCACATATCATTGCTTTCTACAGACTGCTGGACACCCTCTCTCTTAACATAAAGACCATGACAACACAGCTCATTGTAACTGCTTAAAGATTTTATTCACTGAGGACAACATGGAAACAAAATATTGAATATGTTTTATCATCACACAACGACGCATAGTCTGTATGATTGTATGTTTATTACAAGACTATGATCAAGAGATTCATATCATTATCACAGATATAAATATCACTGCCATCAAACAAAATCTGGAGTAGCCTATCTTCAAGACAAGATATTTGGGCTCAACTTATTTTTGGCAAGTCCTTTAAGCTTACAGTGGGCTCTGCAGACCCATTTTCAGTATAGGGATACACAGTAAAATTAGTCTGGAATGAAATTGAAATTATGTGTCTGTCATTATGGAGTTTCGGTTTGAATCAAACATACCAAGACTTCTCATGTTCCAAACTTGGTATCTTAAATCATAATCACTTTCGAAAAAATGGTGGCAGTGATGTAAACAAATAATATACAATGTTCAGGCAAACATGTCTTGGTACAGGCATGTAAACAGTATCACAGATAAACTTCTCTTTTCAACAAAATCTGGTCCAGTTCTTTATCACATAAACTGAACCAATGAATCACTGTTGACTGTTGACTGTATTTCACAGCATTGTCCAACGGCTCACACTTGCCCATAAGCTTTAAGATGGACATACTGCTCGAACGCCTCCCAGTAGCGACTGGCAAATGCATGCTTCAGTTCCTCACTTTCAACAATCTTCTTCAAGGCTACAGTTGTGTTCTCCGAGATCTTGACAAGATCAAACCTTGGGAAGACCCTGGAAAAGTAAAAAAAAAGAGTTCATGTATGGCAAGACTTGCATTCTCTGTGTGAAGTTCATTAACATTAAAAAAGAAACAAAGCCAAACAAAGACTCTCTGGAGTGGACCAGTGTACAATATATAGCCATATTTATGCAATTGCATAGATATAAAAGGTATCAAAGTGATTCTATGTTACTGGCAAAGTGTCACAAAAAGTTTCATTTAATTTGACATTCATGAACCATGACATTTGCATGATTTGTTTTCTTCGGAAACTGACAAAAACGAAGAAGAAGAAGATTTTATACGCAAGGAATTTGTCCTGGGTTCCTGTGGCAAGTTTATGGCATGCAGAGGCGTAGCTACCATAATAAAAAAAAGCCCGGGCTTATACATAATTGTTGCTAAAAAGGCTGGGCAAGCCCTCAAAATCTAAATATGAAGCTTTGTAACATATCGGGCTTACACACACACACAAAAATGGCTTGCTATGCACCTGACATGTGGTTTCCTGAGATCATTTAAATTTATAAATTTCAAGACTCTGAGGTAATGTGAGATATACTGCCAGGGGGAATTGGTAAGGCATTTCAACATTGTGAGCCCTTGTACATCTTGGGTCCTTAAACTTTGAAACACAATACTCCCTGTAACGTATACTGCAACACAAAGTCCTGGTTTTCCTCTCGTATCTGCACAGAATATCAACTGTTCCCACTTACTTGTCACCATCCTCGTCGGACTTCTTGGTGAAGTGTTCCACCCTGAGTCTGTCATCAATAGGTTCCTTGTCTGTCTCCCCAAACAGCACCAGGTGCAGAGCATCCAGGGAGTCCTGTCTTCCCATCCCCAGACTTGAACACATGTTGAGGAAGGCGTACACCATCACGCCTCCAACGTGAGCAGGAGTGGATACAATACAATCTAAAACACAAGATGTCACACACCAACACTCACTAGAAGCATGCTTTATTGTTGTTAGGGACCTTTCATAATTTATGGCAAGGGGCAGGGTGATGATGATTTTTATGGAGAAGCAAGTACAATGTGAGTGACCCCCCTAAAATTTATTACAAAGTAAGTTACCTCCCCTGCATGTCATGTACAAAATCAATGACCCACTCTCCCCCTTCACATATTTTTAAAGCATAATTTTTTTATTTTTTTTGGGTACAAAATTTCCTTTTCCACCCACCTCCAAGTTAATGTGTACAAAATTGATGACCCCCACCTCCCCAGAGCAAAATGGGTGGGACACCCCCCTCAAATTAAAATCATCCTCACCCACCACTAGCCATAAATTATGAATGGTCCCTTAATATATCTTTTCATTTCTCTTAAATTATTCCACATGCCACACTTGAAGCTAATGCATATGCTTTAAGCATATGTTGATTATTATAACCCCGCTACAAAGTAACGGTTGTATATAGCGTTCATTCTGTCCTTCCGTCCCGAAACTTTGTCCGTAGCATATCTCTTAAAATTTACATGCTAGGTTCACCAAACTTCACACACATGTTAATCATTACCCATTGACGTGCCTTTTGCTGTTTTAAAGTTTTTTTCAGAATTTTGTTTTTTTTTGCTGTTTCCATGGAAACACGACTTAGTGCCAAATGTGTTTGATGGTTACCTGGCCACAGCATATCGAAACTATACATGCTAGGTTCACCAAACTTAATACACAAGTTAATCATGTCCCACAGATATGCCATGTGCTAAAAAATAACAATCTTCATCTACGTCCACTTCATTGTGTGCAACATGAGACAGTCAAGTTCAATTGTATGTCAGGTTTCCACGGAAAACACAAAAAAATCATGTTTCCATAAATTATTACTGTAATCAGTACATGGCAAAACTATTATCTAACATGTACATAAAGTTTAGTAGAGTCAAGGAGAAAGTCTTGTGAGCTGCTGATCCTTGTCACATTATATATATCAATATCAGTCATTTCCATGTCCCAAAGTGGGAAGTGGGGGTATGTGAGCTGTGCTCACTTCTACACTTGTTGCTTTCTACACATTTCCATGGTGCCTCTAGACTTTGTAATGTATCACCTTTTGAATGAGTGAATTGTGAGCCACAGTTGTGTCCCTTTGGCATGCCAGGAACTTGAAATTTGGATTCAAGTCCCTTATCAAGAACCTATTATCAAAGGTTTCTCAGCATATACCCAAGCTCGTTGGTTTCATCAATGTGGTATATGGCAGAGTCCTGCATCACTTTGAGTATCCTCCAATGTCAAGCTCATTCACTCATTCTTAAGAAATTTTATAGGGATTATAAGCAGTGGCTGTTACGTTACTGAAAACTGAAATAACAAATAGGGACTATTTTCAACACAATTACAGCTATCTAAATATAAATTATTATTATTATCTTTCTGTCATATATGCAAATAAGCTTGATAACTATCTGAATTTTATGATCACACTGAAACAGAACATACACATTTGAACATCTTATATCTTAAAAAGGTGTCTTCTTCATCCATTGAGTGATTTACCTGTTTTGTTGAAAGCAAAAGGACTTGTAGTTTCTACAGTTTCTTTAATCCCGAGAGCAGTGTTAATGTTTACAGAGTAATCCCAAGGTTTCTCACAGTTCTCAGCTTTGATGTCGCATTCCGGTTTAACTATATTGTCAATACCAAACAGCTGTTTGAGTTTGCGTGTCGAGACGCTGCTGGCAGTGCAGTAGATGATGCTGGAGGACGTCAAATACTCCTTCACCTCCTCCGCAACATCAGATAGCTGTGATGGCAGCACGCACACAAACACCAGGTGTACTGATGACGCCAGCTTCACATTATTATTGTAACACTCTGTACCACGACTTGCCAGATATTCTGGAAAAAAATAAAACATGTAATAGTGAGTGAGTGATTTTAACGCTGCTTTTAGCAATATTCTAGCAATAATATGGCGGGGGACACCAGAAATATGCTTCACACAACCTGGGCCTTCGGCGTGATGAGCTAACCCTTAAACCACTGGGCTACCCCACCATGTAATAGTTAAATGACAAGTCATTGTCAAACTTAAATTTATAAATTCTTCCAAACATACTGACCAATCATTCATGACATTTTAACATGCTCTGTATCAAAAAGTGAAACCTAAGGAACAGTTCATAATTTATGGCTGGGGGGTTGGGGGTGAGATGATGATTGTAAGTGGGGTCACCCATTTTGTTCTGGGGAGCTGGGGGGTGTCAGCAATTTTGTACACACATACTGGGGGTGGGGTCCAGCAATTTTGTACATACAAATATGTTTAAAATTATGCTTAGAAATTAGGGGTGTGTGTGTGTGTGTGTGTGTGTGTGTGTGTGTTAATTGATTTTGGACATGACATGCAGGGGGATCACTTATTTTGTACATAAATTTTAGGGTGTGTGTGTGTGTGTGCTCATTCACATTGTACATGCTTCTCCATAAAAATCATCATCACCTCCCCTAGCCATAAATTATGATCGGTCCCTAAATAAATAACATTTCTTGAACTCTCAGTTCTTATGGAAAGGGAAGATGAGAACTATATAAATCTTTTATGCATGCATTGAAAGGGACTCATATCGTCAATTCATGTATGGAGCCAAATGATCGAAAATGATGAGCAACATTACACAAATGCCAGAGGATAAGATGATGATAGAACAGAAAGTAGTCAAAGTGTAAAATAATTGACTATTTAGGTAATCCTGGCTTTATAATGTTGAATTCTGTACACCTAGTATATGGTTATCTACACAATCTACTTTTGCTAAAATGTACCAAGTGTTTCTGGTCTCCTGGTTGATATGTGTAGATCTGATGGGTTCATTCTGCCGTATGTCAGCAGACAGTGGGCAATCTGACTTCCCACATGACCACAGCCTATGATTCCAACTAGAAGAGGATCCTTGCAGTGGAAATCTTGTAGAATTCTTGTACTTCTTTTATGGGGACTTTTCAACTGATTCTTCATTTGTCTGAAAGGTAAATTTGAACGAAATGCTGACGTAACATGTTATATTTGGGATTACACTTTCTCAGTAACGTACAGATTATAGTCTTTTTGTTATTTTGAGTCAAACCCTCAGAGAGTCAGCGATCTAACCCATTCTGCCACTACAGCTTCAACAAAAATGGAAAAACCACTTTCTAAATGGCATTGTGTATTTATCAATACTTATGATTTAAAGATTACAATGATTGTATTTAGCTATTACTTTGTTTGAGAGAAACACGTATTCAAAGACTAACTGTTGATAGGTTATACTTGTCAGAGGGGTACAGAAAGTATGTTATCCAAACTACAAGTCGCTAGACTTTGTTTTTGGAAGCCTCTGAGGCTGTGTTGGTTAGATCACTGACTGTGATATCCCAAATGTAGCCATTGTTAAATAACATCCCATCATTCCAGTTCTAAAAACATTGCATGTGAATGTCAGGGGACAATATATACAATGCTGCGAGACTCGTATATCACAAAATGGAACTACTCCCGACTACCTTGTTGAGGTCATCTATCCATTCATTCCATGATTACACGTGTTCTTCCTCTATTCTTTGCATGCCCTGTTATTCCAAAGTAATGTTATGAGCATGGACTTTTGGGCTAATACCCTGGCGTCATGGGTTTCTGTGGTATTATGAAATTTACGACGATGAATATGATCGCTCATATTGCCAAGTCATATAAACATAATATAGTGTTAGACGACATACCTTTGTATCATTTAATGTCAATAAAACACTTTTGTCATTCTGAAGTTCATTGTTGTCCGTATCGGACGACAGGCGGCCATTGTGCACAAACTCTGGTGACGTCATATGTTTCCGTGGTATTTTCTTCAGATCAAATTACGGGCGCACAGCACATGTCACAATCTCACACGTTGTCAACAGCCAATCCGGGAGTGTCAATGTAGGTTTACAGTAATATCAAAGTTGATAAATTGTAATACAGTAAATGATTTTGTAGAATTAACACAATAGTCACATTTCTTCAGCATAAATTTCCAGTTCATAAAACATGTAGAGTTGATATGGATATGTGAAATGAAAAGTGAAAAAACAACTTAAGAGATGACCCTATCGGGCTTCTATAGTTTAAAAAATTGAGCTGGGATTCCCCCCTTAGGTCACCTGATTATTTTTATTGATGACATCAGCTAGCAGATGAGCGATGTTTGGAAAACTTTGAAGCTGAGTAAGTTTGATAGAAAATGTTTGCAAAGATCGTGCAAATATTGCATTACGTGCTAGACATAAAGTTGCATTAGATTTTAATAGTAGATGACTGTACGTACGCAAATTGATGAAAGTCTGAACATTTTTTGCTCAGAGAATTCCGATCAACTGATGAACGTAAACAATCGATAGGTGGCGCGATTTGGCGAGTGGCTCGTGAGAAATTATGTCATTAGAAAATACCACGGAAACGTAAGTACATATGACGGCATGGTATGGCGTAGTTCACAGGCCCATTATTGTTAGTAGTAACTTTGCACAGTGGTACTCTGCTCTACACACGTCCAACATGTAATTTATAAACACCAGAATCATTCTGCCATGAATATCTGATAGTTGGGCCATGGCCTATAGAAAGAAAACAAGTGGTCGAAAGCATGAGCACCAGTCTGGCCCCTTTAGTTCAGTCCATCCATTGAAAACTGGATTCACAGTAATCCGACCATATTTGGTCCTGTGTATGCACACACAGATATGATCACACTGTTATGATTTCCAGCATACCCTCTACCACTATATTTGGGAAAAGACAGTGTAACAAGTGCGTTTGTCAATCTCACCTTCCTTCATTCAAAATATCAACAAAGTATGTTGCTTGTGCACATAATGAAACGGCAATGGCATGTGACCTTGCTCTCAAAACAAGGAGTTTTCTTTCCTCTTCGCTTAGAGCGCTTTCAAATTGAAGAGTGTGTAAATTACGCGTAATATCGGTATTCGCATCATCGTTTTTCGCACTCAGGCGTGTTAACAACGCCATATTGTATCTATGTACGCCACGCATGCGCAATGTAAATATAAGCAAGTGCGCGATGCGTACGCAGATGTAGGCTATTCCGGTAAAAACTTCCGGTTTCTTTGAGTGACGGTGAGGATTGTTGAAAATATGAAAATTGTCTTAGTGTTTCCGCGTGAATCTGCTTCATTTCAGATGAAATCACGTTTCAGATACATTCTTTGTCGCCTTATTAACTGTTCTCATTGAGGAATAGGTTGAAGGCTTCTCAATTAGACTGTATACTCATTGTTACAGAGAATAGTTCAAGTGTTCCAGTTTTCGTGCGTTGTTTTGTTTAATCTGTATTTGCGTTCCTGATTCTTAAGACAGTATGTGTCATGTTCAAAGTAACATTTCGAGGGTTTTTTAATTCGTAACCGTAAATGGATGTCAAAGATGTTTCATTCGCATATCAGCGAGAGTTGCGCCCCCCTGTGCCATTTTGAAAAGCCCCCAAAATTAAATAAACCTATATTTCCAATGGTAGCCTGTCGGGTATGTCTTCTGTGAAGGGATCATAGGATGTTTTCCACTAAAATGGTTCCTGGACAGTCCATGAGTGCGTACCACGATGGACGGTTTCTTAAATATAATTGGACCATTTTGAGCGAGTGCTGCAGAGTTATCTCCCTTGCTGAGATACTAGCAAAAAATATCATTGTAATAATATTTCAAACTAAGTAAATACATTGAACATAAAGTAATCGTGAATAAATAATTATATTTGTTACCCTATCTTCATAAAAATATAGCAAAGGGATCCCCAAGTGTATTCATTGCAACCCTACTGATTGAATTGAATGGTCAATCTTTTTCAATCTTTACCATGTTTACAGTCAAGGTTCAACAATACCTTTGTGCTATTTGTTGTTCTTATTGAGTTATTCCACTTCTTGCTTCATTCAATTATCTGTGTCCACTTGTTATCGTTTACATGTTGTAATTTTAGCAACCATTGAACTTGGATGTGTACAGTGTAGTTTCTTTTGCCCAATGGTATGACGCCAATTTCAATCACCCCCCTAAACTTATTGAGTGAGCCAAATACTTCCTTCACATACTGTACCCATGAAGATCCAGGTTAGAATTGGTCTTTGGGAAACTCTTGCAGGTGTCAGGTGGTCAGGCTCGCTGACTTGTCATGTCGTCATTTTCCAGTGGTGTTGATCAGTGGTCATGATGTCAGTCACTAGACTGTCTACTGTCATATAGGTTGAATGTTACTGAGTGTGGCGTTGAACAACAAACAAACAAAAAAACCAAATGGTCTTAGCGTGTTTCGTATTGCTTTCTGATGCTTAATTTTATACCTGCAGAAGCACCATCATCACTGACAAAACAAAATGGCCACTTACAAAGGAGCGGCATCTGAAGCAGGGAGGGCTCAGATCCTCATGAAGAAAAGACAGAAAGAACAAGATGAAATAGAAGCAAAGAAGAAAAAGATTGAAGAGGAATTAAAAATTGGAAGCATAAACAACAAATTTGCCGCCCATTATGATGCTGTAGAACAGACTCTCAAGTCCAACACTATAGGTACATTAGATGGCTTTGCTTTGTTTTACATGACTTAGATCAGACATTGTTAAATCATCCAACTAAATGTGCCTATTATTATTATGGTGTTGTTTATTTTAAAATTGACAAACTTTATGGATAACAACTTCTATATTAAAGGAGTGCGACGTTTCGATACAGATTCTTGTACCGTTGTCAAGCAGGAATGTAACATACAGTGGTGGCAAAGTATAAACACTGAGTGTAACAAAGAAAACAAGATAACAAGGTAATTAACACAACAGGGTGGGCTTAGAGGTGATGAAGCCAGTGGGTAGACAATGGGGGAAGGCATAGATGTACAAATGAAAAGGGGGTAGTTTAAACAAGGAGGAGATGTTTATACAGCTGATTGGGTTTGGTGGAGGAGTGCATCATAAGCAGATGGAATGTAATATCCTTGATCTCGATTGATGGTAGGCTTATGGCGTTTGATATGAATGGCTTCGGTGAGTTTTCGTTTGGTGAAGTCCTTTTGGTTGTTGGCCAGAATGGACTGACATCACCATTCTGGCCAACAATCAAACCCAACAACAAAAATGGCATAAAAGTCCAGTAGTTTCAGCATGTTCAGTTGGTACCTGTCATCAATATTATTTGATTTAGATCATAATAAATTATTGTAATGGAGAAATATGGTAGACTATAGCTGGTGGATGCACTTTCACTTGTAACACAAATGTGACAAAAAAATTATGTTTTTTAATTTTGAAGAAGAAATTACTCTTTGATCCTGTTGAACGGTTGGCGCTAATAATGCAATGATTTACATTGTGCAACTTGTTTTGCTGGGTACAGCTACACAGTTCAGATCATAGTTTTCATGGCTCATGTAAGAGGTGGTTTCAGGCGATGTGTGTTTGTATGTTGCTAGGTCTCGTGACTTTGGACGAGATGCGAGCAAAACAGGAGAGTGTGGTCAAGGAGAGGGAGAAACAGTTGGCCAAGAAAAATGCAGAGGCACGAGTAATTGAACAACAGAAGGAGGACAAGAAACGAAAGGAACAGAGAAAAGTAGGAGAGTTACCATGGTTACTGATAGAAATAATATGCGGTGATGATGGAGAGATAGATGAAGTTTATGAGCGTCATCCCCTTATGGTCAACAAATGTCCAGTCATTTATCTCAGATTCTGTGCTACATGCCCTTAAGTATCACACTGGGACAAAATTGATATTTTGTTAAAAGTTAAAAGGTATTTTAGCAGTGCATTTAGCACTCTTCCTCTCCACTGGTCTGTTATCAGTGAAATTCAAGTTTCATCTACAACACCATATAAACATCGTTAATATTTGAAAATAAATTTGGAAAATCTGACTGACATTTGCTGCAGATTGGGAGACAAATATGGGCCTGTCAGCAGGTTTAGATAAACCTGTGATTTCTATATGGTTAATTTAACCCTTAATTCCTTACTAATTCCTTTGTGTCTAAAATTAAATAAAATTAGCCTGAATGTGTTGTGGCATTATCATTAATGATGATTAGTGTTTGTAAATGTGATAAATGTGCATTGAAATTTGCATTATGCCTTTGGTGATTTTTGGGTCAACATTTTTATCCTTCTTACCTGATGCTTGTCATAAGAGCTGACGAAACTGCAGATGGTTATCATTTTTATTCTTTGTTAATGCTATCAACCCTCAGTTTGCCTGGTCAGGGACCCATGAAGATCTGGGTTAGAATTGATCTTCAGTAACCCATGCTTGTCGTTAGGCGACTAACGGGATCGGGTGGTCAGGTTCGCTGACTTGGTTGACACATGTCATCATATCCCAATTGCGTAGGTCAGAGATAGTGTAATCCAAACGAAAGCACTGATACTGTTCAAATTAAGATATTTCAAAGCGGCACAATATTATTCTCCATGAAGTAACAGAAACAGAAAATCCACTATCATATGCCAGTTGGTGTACTAAATAAATTCACGTTTCCTGAAATTGAATATACTTTCAGGTGTTTATTATAGAAAACAATGACAAAAGTGTCATCATAAATAACATGATAACGTGTATCCCAGATCAGAGGTGAAGATGAACTTGAACACCGCCATGTGCTACAGTGGCTTCAGAATCCTTTCTTCTATTGTTGACAGATAACAATGTTGTCATTCGACCCTGAGGAAGATCAGGATGATGATGAAGACGATGAGGAAGAAGAGGAAGAAGAGCCTCAATCTGCTCTGGAACTCCCACCATCTATAGTTCTAGACAAGAGCAAGAAGAGGAGATTAGGTAGGGCTCATGATGTCGTTGAGGTCAATGTCCCACTTGCAAAATTCACCAATATAGGAACCCATAGGAACACCTTGTTTCTTCTTCACCCGTGAAGATCTGGGTAAAACTGGTCTTCAGCAACCCATGCTTGCCGTAAGAGGCGACTAACAGGATCGGGTGGTCAGGCTCACTGACTTAATAGCTGACACATATCACTGTATCACAAATGTGTAGATTCATGCTCGTGGTGTTGATCACCGGACTGTCTGGTCCAGACTAGATTATTTACAGATCGCTGCCTTGTAGATGAAATATTGCTGAGTGCAGCATTAAACAACAAATGAACAAACCAGTGTTGTTACTTCCAGTCAGGGTTGTGATTTTGTTCTTCTGTACTTAAGTTGAGTGGTCAGGCAGGGCTATTCACTTGAACTGGAACTAAATTTGTCTGTTCCTGTGTTCACAAAATGTGTGTTAATGTGTGGGTGGATGTTGACAGGTGTTAATGTGTGGGTGGATGTTGACAGGTGTTAATGTGTGTGTAGGGATGTAAACAGGTGTGTGTGTGTGTGGGCATGCGTGTGTGTGTGGATGTGGACAGCGTGCATGCGGTACATGTGCAGGTGTTAATGTTAATGTGTTAGTGTGTGTGTGTGGACAGGTGTTAATGTGTGTGTGGATGTGTCAGTGTGTTAGTGTGTGTGTGTGTGTGTGTGTGTGTGTGTGTGTGTGTGGACAGGTGTTAATGTGTGTGGATGTGGTCATGTGTTAATGCATGTGTGGATGTGGACAGGTGTTAGTGTATGTCTGGATGTGGACAGGTGACAATGTGTGGGTGAATGTGGATAGGTGTTAATGTGTGTGTGAATGTTGACAGGTATGAACCCGGAGGTGGACACCAGCTTCCTACCTGACAGGTGTTAATGTGTGTGTGGATGTTGATAGGTGTTAATGTGTGTGTGGATGTTGACAGGTATGAACCCGGAGGTGGACACCAGCTTCCTACCTGACAGAGACAGAGATGAGGAGGAAAACAAGATGAGGTAAATCACTCACTCACTCAAGAGAGGCCATCACATTGGCCATTGATTATCTTGTTTCAACTATAAACGAACCTACTGGAGTCAAAAATTAAATAAATACATAAAAGATATGTTTAGGAGAAATTTATGTCTAATTTCTGATCAGTGTTTTTTTTTTTTGTGTGTGAACATTTTACATAATTAAACACATGAATTAATTTTCTCTCACTGATATATTGACTTGCTTACTCAATGTGACACATTAACAAACACTCCCTAACACACTGACTCCATATGAAAGCCATCAACTCAGTCTCTGTCATCGTAACCCAGTTGCATAGATTGATGATCATGCCGTTGTCTGGTCCAGACTCGATTATTTACAGACTGCTGCCATATAGCTGGAATATTGCTGAGTGCAACTTAAAATGAAAAACCAAACTAAGCCACTCTGTGTAAGACTGACTCGCTGTACGGGCAGGGGGGTAGCATAATGGTTAAAGCATTTGCTCGTTGCGCCAAAGACCCACATGGGTACAATGTGTGAAGCCCATTTCTGGTGTGATATTGCTGGAATATTGCTAAAAGCGGCGTAAAACCATACTTACTCACTCATTCACTTATTTGCTGTACATTGCAGGGAACAGCTGCAACAGGAGTGGGAAGAGAAGCAGGCAAAGATCAAGAACGAGGAGATCGACATCACCTACAGCTACTGGGACGGCTCAGGACATCGGCGACAGGTACGCATGAAGAAGGGCAACAGCATACAGCAGTTCCTGCAGAAGTGCCTGGAGAATCTGCGTCGAGAGTTCAACGACCTGAAGTCCATCACAGTAGACCAGCTGATGTACGTCAAGGAGGACCTCATCATTCCACACCATTACCTATTCTATGACTTTATCGTCACAAAGGCGAGAGGGAAGAGCGGAGCTTTGTTTAGTTTTGACGTTCATGAAGATGTTCGAATGGTGAGTGATGCTCGAGTAGAGAAGGATGAATCCCATGCAGGGAAGGTTTGTCTCAGAAGCTGGTATGAGAGGAACAAGCACATCTTCCCTGCAAGTCGATGGGAACCGTATGACCCAGAGAAAAAGTGGGATTCTTATTCTATTTCCGACAAAAATGCTGCCAAGATTACTGTGAAGTAGAAATTCAATTATCATACCAAACTTACTACCACAGGAGATATCACTTGTGAGAACTGTATGATCCAGTCAAAAAGTGGGATTCGTGTTCTATTTCTGACAAAAATGCTGCCAATATTACAGCGAAGTAGAGAATCGGTTATCTTCCCCTCAGGAGATGCCAATTGTGTGATATCAACCACTACAAGAAAATTGCATCGCCATGCATTGCAGATGGTTGGGACACTATTGGTTTCCATGACAACACAATAAAATAAGATCACAAATCTCTGCCACTGAAACTAGTTAGCCCTACCTTTTTCACTCAAAACACTGGTGATTACTGCTTAGAAACTGACAAAGTTGAAAGAATTATCTCATCCTCATATCTTTTGTCAATAAAGATTTATCACATCATCTGTTCCATCTCTTTCAAAAGGTAATCGGGCTTAGTCTAGTGGTTAAAGCGCTAATAAAGATTTGAACACATCAATATGTGAAGCATCCCTGTCCCACAAAGTGATCTCATTCAAAAGGTAATCGTAACTCCCATACTTTAACATAAGCTTACGATCCTTGAAGCACAAAGATCTCTCTGTGGCATGGGGCCCTCAGCCTTTTGACTTGTGAGGATGTATTTCTTGTCAGAAGAGACAAGGCTGATATTCTATGTCAAGTCAGTGTTACTGTAATGAATATAAGAACTAGTGGTCCTTGGTCAACATGTTTGGAGATGTGTTAATATGTCTACAGTATGTGTGTTCCTACTTGTCTTGTCAGTAATCTGTAAATGTAGGTTTACAGGGTCCTATTTATGTTTATGAGAATATTTATAAGCTGCTTTACTGCAAAAATGTCCAAGTTATGGACAATGACATGACTGGATCGACTGGAGTTTTATTAAAGTGAATTTCAGTTTCAATAAATTTGCAGTGTGTATGGTAAAGCAGTTCTTGTTTAGGAACATTTCATTTGAGCGAATTGTTAGAACAATGTTCATAGTCATGCATATACATATACAGATCAACATTAAACATGGTCTCATCAAACCGCTTGTGCTGTTGTGCATTGATGTTGTTATTCTATCATCAGTTGGCCAATTTTTGGTGGTTAGCAACAACCGGTAGTCATTTGAGCAGGAGTTCGTTCATGCCGTAGCAACTCGTCAAAGCAAAAATGAATCGTTTGTTTGTTTGTAGAGGGACTACTTGATTTAACAATGATAAACACTCCTGGTGCCGATGTAGATGCATCACTTTGACTGTCATTGAAATTTGGTTTTGAAACAATATACAGCATGTGAAGTACGTCTTCTTTATAGCTCTGGGCATATTTCCTTAAAAATAATGCCTTTGGCAACTGATGAACTTTGAATGACTTTGTGATGTGTAGATAAGGTCAAAGGCCCTGTCAGCATTCTTGGTGACCCGTGAAGGTCCGGGTTAGAATATCTTCAGTAACCCATGCTTGTCGTAAGAGGTGACTCACGGGATCGGGTGGTCAGATCTGACTTGGTTGACACATGTCATCTGTTCCCATTTGCGCAGATCAATGCTCATGCTGTTGATCACTGGATTGTCTGGTCCAGACTCGATTATTTACAGACTGCCGCCATATAGCTGGAATATTGCTGAGTGCGGCGTAAAAGTCAGCTCACTCCCGCTAGAGTTAGTGAGCTGGGTTTGATGTTGCTATGAACAGTTTTATGGCTGGGTCAGCGTGGTGTGGGAGGAAAGTCGGAAGTGATGCAGGTCCCAGTAATGTTATGGCTGGGTCAGCGTGGTGGGAGGAAAGTCGGAAGTGATGCAGGTCCCAGTAATGTTATGGCTGGGTCAGCGTGGTGTGGGAGGAAAGTCGGAAGTGATGCAGGTCCCAGTAATGTTATGGCTGGGTCAGCGTGGTGTGGGAGGAAAGTCGGAAGTGATGCAGGTCCCAGTAATGTTATGGCTGGGTCAGCGTGGTGTGGGAGGAAAGTCGAAGTGATGCAGGTCCCAGTAATGTTATGTTACGGCTGGGTCAGCGTGGTGTGGGAGGAAAGTCGGAAGTGATGCAGGTCCCAGTAATGTTATGGCTGGGTCAGCGTGGTGTGGGAGAGGTCCGAAGTGATGCAGGTCCCAGTAATGTTATGGCTGGGTCAGCGTGGTGTGGGAGGATGTGATGCAAGTGATGTTATGCAAAGGAAAGTCGAAGTGATGCAGGTCCCAGTAATGTTATGGCTGGGTCAGCGTGGCGTGGGAGGAAAGTCGGAAGTGATGCAGGTCCCAGTAATGTTATGGCTGGGTCAGCGTGGTGTGGGAGGAAAGTCGGAAGTGATGCAGGTCCCAGTAATGTTATGGCTGGGTCAGCGTGGTGTGTGGGAGAAAGTCCCAGTAGTGATGCAGGTCCCAGTAATGTTATGGCTGGGTCAGCGTGGCGTGGGAGGAAAGTCGGCGGAAGTGATGCAGGTCCCAGTAATGTTATGGCTGGGTCAGCGTGGTGTGGGAGGAAAGTCGGAAGTGATGCAGGTCCCAGTAATGTTATGGCTGGGTCAGCGTGGTGTGGGAGGAAAGTCGGAAGTGATGCAGGTCCCAGTAATGTTATGGCTGGGTCAGCGTGGTGTGGGAGGAAAGTCGGAAGTGATGCAGGTCCCAGTAATGTTATGGCTGGGTCAGCGTGGTGTGGGAGGAAAGTCGAAGTGATGCAGGTCCCAGTAATGTTATGGCTGGGTCAGCGTGGTGTGGGAGGAAAGTCGGAAGTGATGCAGGTCCCAGTAATGTTATGGCTGGGTCAGCGTGGGCGTGGGAGGAAAGTCGGAAGTGATGCAGGTCCCAGTAATGTTATGGCTGGGTCGGCGTGGTGTGGGAGGAAAGTCGGCGTGAAGTGATGCAGGTCCCAGTAATGTTATGGCTGGGTCAGCGTGGTGTGGGAGGAAAAGTGGAAGTGATGCAGGTCCCAGTAATGTTATGGCTGGGTCAGCGTGGTGTGGGAGGAAAGTGATGATGCAGGTCCCAGTAATGTTATGGCTGGGTCAGCGTGGTGTGGGAGGAAAGTCGGAAGTGATGCAGGTCCCAGTAATGTTATGGCTGGGTCAGCGTGGTGTGGGAGGAAAGTGAAGTGATGCAGGTCCCAGTAATGTTATGGCTGGGTCAGCGTGGTGTGGGAGGAAAGTCGGAAGTGATGCAGGTCCCAGTAATGTTATGGCTGGGTCAGCGTGGTGTGGGAGGAAAGTCGGAAGTGATGCAGGTCCCAGTAATGTTATGGCTGGGTCAGCGTGGTGTGGGAGGAAAGTCGGAAGTGATGCAGGTCCCAGTAATGTTATGGCTGGGTCAAGCGTGGTGTGGGAGGTCGGAAGTGATGCAGGTCCCAGTAATGTTATGGCTGGGTCAGCGTGGTGTGGGAGGAAAGTCGGAAGTGATGCAGGTCCCAGTAATGTTATGGCTGGGTCAGCGTGGTGTGGGAGGAAAGTCGGAAGTGATGCAGGTCCCAGTAATGTTATGGCTGGGTCAGCGTGGTGTGGGAGGAAAGTCGGAAGTGATGCAGGTCCCAGTAATGTTATGGCTGGGTCAGCGTGGTGTGGGAGGAAAGTGGAAGTGATGCAGGTCCCAGTAATGTTATGGCTGGGTCAGCGTGGTGTAATGGGGGTCAGCGTGGTGTGGGAGGAAAGTCTGATGCAGGTCCCAGTAATGTTATGGCTGGGTCAGCGTGGTGTGGGAGGAAAGTCGGAAGTGATGCAGGTCCCAGTAATGTTATGGCTGGGTCAGCGTGGTGTGGGAGGAAAGTGATGATGCAGGTCCCAGTAATGTTATGGCTGGGTCAGCGTGGTGTGGGAGGAAAGTCGGAAGTGATGCAGGTGTCCCAGTAATGTTATGGCTGGGTCAGCGTGGTGTGGGAGGAAAAGTCGGAAGTGATGCAGGTCCCAGTAATGTTATGGCTGGGTCAGCGTGGTGTGGGAGGAAAGTCGGAAGTGATGCAGGTCCCAGTAATGTTATGGCTGGGTCAGCGTGGTGTGGGAGGAAAGTCGGAAGTGATGCAGGTCCCAGTAATGTTATGGCTGGGTCAGCGTGGTGTGGGAGGAAAGTCGGAAGTGATGCAGGTCCCAGTAATGTTATGGCTGGGTCAGCGTGGTGGTGTGGGAGGAAAGTCGGGAAGTGATGCAGGTCCCAGTAATGTTATGGCTGGGTCAAGCGTGGTGTGGGAGGAAAGTCGGAGTGATGCAGGTCCCAGTAATGTTATGGCTGGGTCAGCGTGGTGTGGGAGGAAAGTCGGAAGTGATGCAGGTCCCAGTAATGTTATGGCTGGGTCAGCGTGGTGTGGGAGGAAAGTCGGAAGTGATGCAGGTCCCAGTAATGTTATGGCTGGGTCAGCGTGGTGTGGGAGGAAAGTCGGAAGTGATGCATGTCCCAGTAATGTTATGGCTGGGTCAGCGTGGTGTGGGAGGAAAGTCGGAAGTGATGCAGGTCCCAGTAATGTTATGGCTGGGTCAGCGTGGTGTGGGAGGAAAGTCGGAAGTGATGCAGGTCCCAGTAATGTTATGGCTGGGTCAGCGTGGTGTGGGAGGAAAGTCGGAAGTGATGCAGGTCTCAGATGTTTACCATCTTGGGGAAACCCAAATAGGCGTCTGATGCTGATTACATGACACAAGGGAGTCGGGTAGCCTTGTGGTTTAAGTGTTCGCTTGTCATATGTTCGGATTCCCCACATGGGTACAATGTGTGAAGCCCATTACTGGTGTCCTCTGACGTGACATTGCTTGGAATATTGCTAAAGGTGGTGTATAATCTCACTCACTCACTCTTATGATGCAGTACATTTTCTTTCAATCGGTTAACTTCCTTGAAGAAACAGCTGAAGGGATGAACCGGAGACATGTGAACGGAAAAGTCTTCCACCATGATTGAGAAGACAGACATTTGTCCATGTATTGCAGTTGTCCGACAAACTATGCATAGTTATCTCCCTTTTCTGAAAACAAAACACACTCCAAAGATAATTTTTATTTAAATTTTATTCTTTTTAAAATTCATTCCTACTCGTGTTGGACATACATGATACTGCTCATGCAACAAGTGTACATTTGATACCATGTACTATAAAGTAACAACATGTGTACAATGTGTGGCTGTGTGCCGTGTAGTTCTACTCCACAGTGGTTCATAGCATACAGCATGGCACAGCAAGCCGTCTTATTGCAGTATCTCACAACTATCTCCGCAGGCCTTCAAAGAGAAGATGATGATAACTGAGCAGGTCGAAAATACCCTTCTGTCACACCAACACCCAGACAGTCATAACTCGACCTGCTGAACCA